GATTCGACAACGATGGGGCTTCAAAGGCCGTTGTGTTGTTGATGAAGATGAGTTGAGACGTGGGAAAGTAAAAGGCGGACAGTCCTGATCCAGTGGCCGGAGGGGAGGAAGATGGACTCGCCCGCCTATATCTCTGAGCACGGAGGTGGGAAGGAAGAGCAAGAGGGCAGACGAGGTTCAAAGTGTCCCGCGACCAGGAAGACCAGAGTAGAGCAGAAGGGCCAGGGAGGGACCTTTGCCCCTCGAAACGAGAGTGGCCCCGGTTTATGGCCGGTGGACCAGGGTGGGTAGCATGCAAGTACTGAGTACTGCACAGTGGGAGCGACCAGCAGAGACGGTGACCGACAGTGACGGAGACGGGACGAGGGGAGGTGTAGAGAGGGGACGGGGGGGTGTGGGTGGTAGGGCATTTCGGCGGCACAGGCACTGGGGCCGAGTCGCGCGCAGGAAGCAAAGAAAGACGCGAGCTCGATTGATGATTACGTAGCGGCTCTTGTTACAGGTGGATAGATTGAGACAACGTTTAGGGTGGGCAGCATCAGTTGCGTCTTCCGTTCGCTAGCAGGGAATGGCGAGCATGGGATGAAGACAACTCCATCCAGCGACGGAAGGCTCAGTACCCATGTACTGTACCTACAAGCCGAAGGGGGGGAAAAAGAGAAAGAGTAGGACCAACGAGCGCAAAAGTGGAGGCAGGGGAAGGTTGCCTCTGTAGATTGTAGGAGCTAACGAGGTAAGCGTTAGCGAGTCGCGGCAAAGAGGGACACCCCGTCATGCTGGTGGAGGAAAGAGGCTGCTGCTGTCTGGCGTCTGAATGGACGGCCCTGTACCATGACGGTACGACTTGACAGAATACCGGTAGCGCGGTCAGGCTGGATACGATCCGTCGGCGGCGGCGGAAGGGGGTGGGAAGGGAAGGGGTGTGTGTGAGAGAGAGAGAGAGAGAGAGTGCCAGGCCGTGCTGATGAAAGAGACCATGAGACGGCGAACGAGAAAGGCGTAGAGAGGGGCGCCCTAAGACGAAATAAGGCGGCAGGGCATGGGACCAGGGGTGGGTGGAGGACCACCGGAGCCGAAGTGGATAGCGCTGGTGCTGTCGCTGGGGAGCCTAGGTATTCATTTCTCAGCATCTATCCCATCCAATCCATCCCCATCGTCCCTCTGGCGCTGTCCGTCTCAAGTGCAGACCGACCGACCATCCCCGGGAGCCCCAGCAGGAGTTCCACTGCATGGCAGCATGCACGCCTGGCTGGTGCTGTTGCTCGTGCTGGTGGTGCTGGTGCTCGTGCTGGTGGTGCTGGTGCTTTCTCGATGGACAATGATGGTGCGGGCCCATGTCGGAATTTGCCAGGTCAAGGCCAGGCACATGAACCTTCCACCTCGCCTCGAGAGTCTGTTTTGCTCTGCCGCCCGGCAAGCGAATGCCAACGTCTGATGGTTGGATGATTGGGAGATGAGGGACACGCGGAAAGGTGTGTGTGTATATGTGTGTGAGAATGAGTGTCAGTCGCGTCTGCATCTGCACCTCGCTGTCGTACAGGCAGGCATTGGTGCCGGTGCTGGTGCTGGGCGCCGCAACGACCTGCAGTCTGTCGCTGCTTGTCTTGCTGTTCCTGCTGGCGGCAGGCCGAGGAAGACCAGGGTAGGACGAGGGGGTCTGCAATTGTCGGTGGAGGAACCAGGGAGGCAGGAAATCGCAGATGTGTGCCGGTGGGGTTTGCTTGTGTCCAGTCCACAATTGGTACCGTGAGGACGCACTCTGTTGACGAGACAAGCTTGTCAGCGAAAGGCCCAGAGAGCAAATCCCGGTTGCTCCGTGGTGATGCAATCTTCAGTTCGCCAGCCCAATTCGGCTCGATGTGAAGACATGACGAGTTTTAGGGGGGGGCACCATCTGACTCGGTGCCGACCGGTCGGTCGCATCAAGCTTGGAAGAGGGTCGTGGGATGTTGGAAACTCTTTGTCAACACCCGAGTAGCGCATCTCCGCCGTACCTATGCCTGAACGTGGGTGAGGCTCGTCTCCGAGGAGCAGCGCAAACCAGCACGCGATGAATGGCATTTCGTGTTACTCCCCCGCCATGGGCACCCGCGTCTTCCCCAGCGAGCTTCCCAAAATCGCCCCCCCAGTCGGTCGAATGCTAGAGCCGACCTAAAGCCTGAAGAGACGACGTGTGAGACGAACCATCAGCGGCGCAAGCGTGACGCAATAGGCCCCGGTGTGCTGAGGCTACGGGACGCAAGGCCTCTGAGCAGGGAGTGGATAGGATCGCTATCGCTGGCAGCGATGCTATGCCGCAAGCCATGCACGCGGTTTCTGTATCCTTCATGTACTCGTCGAAATGCACGGACCGGACTTCTTTCGGCCTCGGTATCGATGGGAGCCGCCCTATGACGGACCATTCGCAAGCCGCCGGCGGTAGGGCAATGGCATTTGAGATGGATGTGTAAGCGGGGGGTGAGGTGTGAGCACAGATGCGGGCCCCAGAGGCCCCGAGGGAGCTCGTGACTCAATTTGAGTAAATCGATCTGGCGCAAGGCTTTCTTCGATTTGAGCGGCATAATGAGTGATCGGGGAAGAGGAGTTGGGGGTCGGTCGCTCGATGTCCCATTGCGACAAGAATGGTGTGCGGACATGTTTCTGCACTGTAATAGCGAGCATGCGCTCTGGCTGCCAACCCCCCCCCCCCCCTTCCGATGCAGGGTTCTATGGTCACAGGGATGAGAATCCCAGCAGCGTCGACCTGATAGGTAAGCACATTCTGGTATCCAAAACTCGCCGTCCCAGCAGAGCTCGAAAGCCAAGCAATGACACTGCACTGCAATCATGAAGAGTACGTAGGTTCCGAGGTGACAATTTTTTTGCTTGTCGCGGATTTCAAGGCGGCATCTGGCTCTGAACTCGCTTTCGCTCAACTGTCGACAACCCGTGGACGATGGATCCTACAGCCATATCATGGTCAAGGGGGAAGGTGCAGGTTGTGTTGCCGATGGGGAAATTCATGGGGAGGGAAAAGGGGGGGGTGGCTCGAATCCTCGACACCCAGTCATCGAGGGCGCTCTAATTGCCGCGAAGGGCAAGCCAGCACTGAGATGCGTCCAGGATGAGGTAGCTCCGACGCTCGTTTCCAGACGATGGATGTTGCCGTCCACATGCTTGTATTTCCCTTCCGGCGGGGTCCGACCCAGTCGGAACAGGACTTTGGTGTTTCTGGTTGGGCGAAAGGACGCCGGGGGCAAGAGGTCAAGACAGACTCACAGGGCAGTGTGAGCACGACCACAAAGACCTAGAGGCCAGGCACCAGGGTTCGGCCATTTTGGCTTCTGTTCTTCTGCAGGGAAGATCGGGAAGGTCTTGGCACCCCAATTCTGACGGGTCTTGGCAACGTGTTCTTGGCACACGTAATTCGTCTGCCGCCCGATGCCAAGACTTTCACGATCCAACCCCGCCGTTCCTGGTCGGTGCTTTGCCCGTTCAGTCGACTTGGCGGAATGTTTTCGATTGATCCAGGGTCCAACGTGCTTGCAAAGATGGCCGGCCTTCTGGAGAACGGGAAGCTGTCGAGAAGAGGGTGGGCAGAGGCCATCTGGCCTGAAGGAGAGGCGGTGACCTGGCAATCTGACCACACCCTAGTAGACTCCTCGTTAATTCCGCTAAGTCCTCATGCCAATTGGACACTTGTACCCAAGTACCCAAGTAGGCAGGACGTACCTAGGTACAAAGCTCCATCGCGCATAGCGCTCGCCCTGATGAACGGGGACCAGGCGCCATGGACAAGGGGGGTTGGGAGGCGGAACCACTGGCGGCGGCTGATATGTGCACAGTGCCTGCCTCATCCCTGATGGTGTGCCTGGCTTGCGTCCGTTTGTGCAAGTAACAGAAAAAGCCGCGGGTGGTTGACCAGGGCACAAGGGGGAAGGAGGAAGGAGGAAGACGGCAGCAGCTGGCGCGCCCGTGAGCATGATTAGTCCGAGACTGTAACAGCAAAGGCAGGAGCGAGCTGTAGTGGGTGAGGGCGCACATCACGCCCAACCACGTACTTGCCAGGGCTGTTTGTTTTGCCCACGCGGTCTCCAGCCATCCATCTCCAAAGCCGGGTCGCATTCGCCAGATGCACCGTTCGGGACCCAGCGCGACATGGACCCAGTAACCAAGTAGAATTTTGCGCTTATCATGTGCAGTCTATTGCGACCCGTTGCTTCTAGCGGATGGAGAGAAAACTGGGACATCAGGCGGGTGGGAGCAAATCGCATCTCATTCTGCTTTCGCACTTTCCCTTTCGGTGCTGCGCACGCCCACTGTCAAGCCAGCTTTTGCCACTCCTCGGATCCGAGTCGGTCGAGTTCCTTTGCTGCCCACTGACAGGGCTGACTGAGTCCTTTCGTTTAGAAGCATGGGCTAGTCGCCAAATACGACGCTCCGTTATACGAATACACGCATCTCAGAGCGCGCGAAGAGCACAGACGCCCTTGTGGTTGCTGCGAAACTGCCTGCATGTTGGCCTACCCCGCAAGATCTACCTGCCTGACGTTTCCAGCTCACGACCTGAGCAACTGAACGGCCTCAAGCTGGAGGTCCGACGTCGACCTGTAATCTCTGAGACAAATCCTCCCCCACGCATCGATTTCAACTGCGGCACCTAGAGGCGGAGAACACAACCCACCCACACCCTAGAGTCCTGATACACTTTCCTCGCCTTTTCCCCCATACGCATTCAAGGCACCTCCACCTAGGTAAGGTAGGTACTCACGATTTCGCCTCTCCACGAACCATATCCTACCTAGGCGACACTTGAACAGCCTTTTCTGCCAGCATCTCACCTACAGGCAGACCGGCCCCAGTCACCAACCCTTGCCCGGCTTGCTGTGTCTGAGAAGAGAAAGCCCACCCCCAACCGACACCAACTTGTTACTGGGCCAATTCAAGCTTGGCTCCGTTCGTTGACAAGCTTACCCTATCTGGAACCCCGGAGACCACTGCTTCTTCCGATATCGACCATCATGGCAGCGGCGGCGGATGAACCGGGCCTCACGGCTTTCTTCCATGAGATGAGCGAACTGGGTGGTATCATTGTCAAAGGTAAGCAGCTAGTACCACCCAACTCAATCCCGGCAAACAGAATGCCGAAACAAGAGGCGATGCACGCGCCTGCCTGTGCACTACCCCACGTCGACGCTAACGTCATCTCATAGAGACACCCAAGCTTGACCTGGACCTGTACATCCAGAACTACAGAGGTAAGCAAGCTGCTTGCAATGGCCGTTGAGTATTCTTCTGACCTGTGTCAGGCCGCACTCGCTTGGATCGCCTACTGACCATTGGTCGTTGCTGCGTACCACTCTGCGTCGAGGCCTTGAAAGCTGCCGTGGCTGAGGCTAAATCTGGCAGGGACGTTGAGCGGTATCGCGAGATTTGGGAATGCATCAGGGTTGCTGCGCCGGCCGAACCTGAGGCTGTCTTTGACCAAGCCTGGGCCGACAAGACGACCATGGAGAACCGCCAGCAAACTCACCATCTCGAGACGCAACTCAAGGGATACAAGAACAACCTCATCAAGGAGAGCATTCGAGTATGTGCTCAGATGAAACAGGCATAATACCACGTGATTGCTGACCTTGAGCACAAGATTGGTAACGAGGAGCTGGGTCGGCACTATGAGAACATAGGTGACCTCAACGCGGCCAGCGATGCATACACCCGCATGCGTCCTGATGTCAGCACATCGAAGCATATCATCGATCTGGGCAAGCATCTCGTCGACCTTGCCGTCATGCGCCGTGACTGGTCCATGGTTCTCGGCAACCTCACCAAGATCACCGGCATGCAGAGCGAAGAGGAGAAGAGTCTCCAGACATATGCCAAGATTGTTCAGGGCATTGCACTGATGAACATGGAAAAGTTCAGTGATGCTGCTCGTTCCTTCCTCCAAATCGGCGTTGGGAAAGAAGTCAAGGACGGCCTCGAGTCCAACAACATTGCTAGCCCCAACGATGTTGCTGTCTATGGTGGTCTTCTTGCTCTTGCCACTATGGACCGCAAGGACTTACAGAAGAAAGTTTTGGACAACCAGAACTTCAGAACGTGCCTGGAGCTCGAGCCTCACATTCGCAAGGCCATCTCGCTGTTCGTTAACGGTCGCTACTCGGCATGCCTGGCTATTCTGAACTCGTATCTGGCCGACTTCCTGCTGGACATCTTCCTGCAGAAGCACGTGAAGGTACTCTTCGCCCTCATCCGCAGCAAGTGCATTGTCCAGTATGTGGCGCCGTTCTCCTGTGTAGCCCTCGGCAGCCTCAATGAGGCATTCGCAGCGCCGGGAACAGATATACAGGTTGAGCTCGCCACGATGATCAAGAGCGGTCTGCTACAGGCGCGTATCAACACCATCGATCAGGTATGTGGTCTATTGACATGAATCTATGATACGGCACATGGGACCCTGGACTAATGCAAGGTTCCGTTTCGGGCAGCTCCTTGTCGCCGTGAACCCCAACCAACGAGCGGCAATGCAGACGCAGGCCCTGGAGACGACCAAGGCCTACGAGAGCGAGGCGCTCGAACGAATCAGGCGCATGGGCCTCCTGAGTGCGAACCTCGAGGTCAGGAACGTCAAGAAATTGCAAGCGACGGGCTCCCAGGCGACGGCGGCGGATGGAGTCAGTGACGTTTGGTTTGACAACAGCGGCGAGCCGATGGCTATCGGGGCATCATGATGGCGTCCGGGCGCCACCCCTGGCCCTGGGCTGAGGGCTTGGAACGGGACGGTGGTGGCTGGTCAGGGTCACGATGTACACGCGGCTCTGGGAAGGGGGGCGCCGAAGTTGAGATGAGCGCTAAGAAGGATGCGATATGCTTTTGAAGGGGGCGACGCGGCCTGCCCAGTGCGCAGAGCCAAAGGGGGGCGCCAGCACCCGAGGCCACCGTCGTGGCGCCAGACTTCTTAACAGGAACAAGCTTAGGACAGCCGCATAAGACCCTGGTCTGCCTTGCCCCAGATCGCTTAGCCTCAATGTATCTATCATGAGCATACGCGGCCTCTTGTCCCCTCTTCCGACTCATTACACTCATTATGGAACGCCCTTCACTGACCACGTGTACGTCATGGTTCGCTTGCGCTAGAGAGGCAGTGGACCCAAGGCCGACACAGGGCTTCGGCTCTAGTGTGTTTTTGTTTTTTTCGATCTGGCATTTGAGTGCAGAGAAGGGGGATTACGTGGACCGGCGACGGCCATGGCAGCACGAGTTTCATCCCTACCTTACCTTATCTGTTGAGCAGGGCTCCCCCCCTCCCCCTTTCCCTAAATGCTGTGATCGAACCCCAGGTCGTTCGAGCTGGACATCGCTGCAGGGGCAACAATCGAACTACCATGTACTCACCTCAGGCTCGAGCTGGATGGTGGCCGCCCCGCCCCCCATCATCGTTCGTCGGACGTTCCGGTTCCATCTTTTTGAGGCTTACGCACCCCCCTGTCGCGGATCCCAAGTCGTCTGTTTGATTTTGGCCACCAGTCATCTGCGACACAGCGCATGGGACACCTGAGGGGCCGCCCGGTTCCCCATCAGAAGAGCCCCGACAAAGGGTGGAGGAGGAGCCCACAGCGTCGACGGAGGAAATACTCGTACTGTACTCGTGTCGAATCAACCGGCGGCGGGTATAAGGCGGAACTGCACCGTATCCGCGTGCTAATAGTGCTTGTTTTTGCCCTACAGCCTAGGTCTTTTCTTCTTCTTCTCCTTCTTCTTTTAGTCCGATACTGGGCTGCAGGTGGACACTTTGGATGTCAATGTGCGTAGCCTTCTGCCCTAGGAAGCCATGTTAGACTGTGCGAAGCAAAGTTGTCACGCGCGAGGTCTTCGGGAACGGGAGCATAGCCCGGTGAGCCACGCTTCGTTGCGTGATTTGCCATGGAGTCTGCTTGTCTTGCGTATGGTTTACGGGCCTTCTTGCTATACAGCCCCAGTCCTGTCGCTCCTTCACCCGCTCCCTCCTCTCGTGGGTGGCATCGTGTGTGTCGTGTTTAAGGTGTACATGGCGTCCGCTCACCCAGTGTGCATCGATACTGGATGCACAAGTTAAGCTTACCAAGGTGCATTGTGCCATTGCGCCTTGCAACCTTGGCTTGAGAAACATGTTGCATGTACTCACAAGCTTATTAGCTCTCAGCAGGCGGACGAGCTAAAAAAGGACCTTGACAACGGATGGACAGCACCGAGGTGCACTGGCGGCGCCCGATGCGCTATTTCTGGGCACTGATAGCGTGCTAACGTACGTTGGGGCGAGGACCTCCTGCCCCCAACGGCGCTGGTCGTGGATTTCACCGCCGCCCGATGACTTGCCGCATGGGGGGTGGATTTCTGGCGCGGGATGCCCTCCCCCCCCCCCAAAAAAAAACAGGGCCTCCATGTACATGCTACAGGTACTCCAACGCAGCGATTGCAACCATCGCTTGTGTCACGCACACACATGCAACCCCCGCCGCCCCGCCCCAAATCTCCAACGTTGCATGCATGGTTCGTAGTGCTACTTGAGGAGAACAAGAAAGAAAAGAAGAAGAATCAGAACAAGATCATCGAGGAGGGCGTCAAAGTGGTCAAGGGGGGTATGTGTTCTACAATACTGTATCAGCTGAACCATTACTCCCGTCTTGGGTTCGTTGCCCGCCGCCCCGATTGACCTCCCAGCCCAAACCAGACCAAAGCTTGGAATCGGGGTGGTGGGAGTATGCACGACCGCTCACACAGGTGTCATGATGCGTGCTCCATGACAGGATCCGTCCGTCACCGCCCGCCCGTTCACCGTTCTTGTCTTGTCATCAGCCCTCCCTAGTTCAGCCCACACAGTCTCCGTATTGATGGGTAGGGATCATGCTTCTACAGTACGTTGTCGCTTGAAGGACCCTTGTACCGCAAGTCGACACCCCCCCCCCCCCCCCTTACCCCTACGCTACCTCTCGTACCCCCATTTTCTTTCAGCCTCTTCGACCCCCAGACGAGGTAGAAGGAAGGGCAGACACTCCGCCCCCTGTGATTCCCCGAATCCGACCCTCGGCTCCCAGGAACAAGCCCACCGATGGCGTCGGGGTTCTACTGAAGCGCGCTAGCGGGTAGGCATCGTGAGCGCCTGATCATCCATCCGAGATTTGGGTTTGCGTATGCCCCCCCTCCCTCAGAAACAAGGGGATCGGGGACGGGGGGGGAGCGGGGAATCCCACCAACCCAATGACGCGGAAGAGGCCAGAATTAGCCCATCAACTGCCTAATGTCCTCCGGCGGCCACCGCACCTGCGCAAACGTCAGGCAGCGCTTGATGCTCTGCAGAAACTTGCGCGTCACCTCATCACCCATGACATGCCCTCGCTCGCCGTTGTGCAGCTTCTCGCGCGCGCTGCGCTCGTGAATGCCCACCATTGTCACGCCGATAGGCCACGCCGCCTTGCCGATAGACAGTCGCAGGTATCCGTCGTTGGCGTCGACGTACCGCCTTTCTTGTGCCGCCTGCACAATCTCTATGATGGGCGCCAGGAGGTCGTCGTCGACGTCGCCCTTTTCGAACCGTCGGAAGAGCTACAAACCCGTCAGTCAGATTGTGTGATGTGTCTCGCCGTGTAGGTTTATGAGGAGAAGGAGCACGTACCGGCTTCATGTTCTCGCGACTCTGCACCATCGTGGCGTACGCCGCCTTGCTCGCCGTTGTATCGCTCCTCTCCGCCTCCATGGCCCGCTGGTACTCCGTCAAGACCATTGTGAAGTAGCTCGCCAGCTGCCTAAACACCCATTTTCGCGCCTCCTTGTCCTTGGGTGCCCCACCTTGCACCTTCATGTCCTTCTCCTCGACGAGCTCCAGCGTCGTCGGCACGGGGCCCTTGGTGACCACCGTCGTGAGCCGCCTGTACCGCCGCAGCCTCGCGCCGTGGCCCTCGCCAAAGAGCGCAGCCGGCGCCCCGATCGCCCTGAGCTTCGCCCGCAGCTCCACCTCCGGCACGTCCTCCGCGCCCTCCTCCAGCTCCAGCGCGTCCTCCGACGACGCCTTGACGAGCGGCGGCAGGCCCAGCCTAGCACGCCGCGCCGCCTCCTCCTCGGCCTCCTGCTGCTCGCGCCGCGCCCGGCTCTCCTCCGCCAACCGGCGGCGCTTCTCCTCGCGTGCCGCCGCCTCGACGGCCGCCTCGTCGTCACGCTTGCGCTTGGCGCTGGCCTTGGCCTCGCGTTCTGCCTCGAGGCGTGCCTGTTCTGCCTCGTAGGCCTCCTTTCGTGCGCGCTCGGCGTCGGCGCGCCTGACGTATTTCGAGGTCGACGACGATTCGGTCGAGGCCTTGCCCTTGGCCAGCTCCTTGGACATGAGGGCTGCGAAGTCCATGGTCGGTCCTCCAGGCGACAGCCTTATCGCCGGATGTGTCTCTTGCTATTCGTATCGGGTCGATTCCGCGTCGTGCGTAGTTCGGCACGGGGGCTCGTGGGAGGGAGGTCTTGGTGTCGCGCAACAAGGGGGGGCGTGTATACGAGTGACGTTCGTTGGAGGTTGCGATATCGTGGCTTGGCTCGTCGGAAACTTGCACCAGGGTGGCGGGGTTAATTCGGATAAAATGGCACGATGCAGCTGATATGCAGGCAGCGGGAAGGCGTGGGGCCTCAAGTCTTGGCACGCGGAGGAGGCAGTGCAAAGAAGATGGGGGGAACAAGGCATGCGGCTGATCACCATCTTTGACGTCCGTTTGATCTTCTTGACAGTGCGAGACCGAGGGGAGGCTCAAGCGACGATTGACAACGTGGGAAAAGTCTTGGCGGTGTTTCTGGAAGGGTTCCTCAGTTCGTGAAGCCAAACTGCAGGTCGGAATGAGATACACGGATAGCTGCATATTTCTCACACCGTCATTCATCTAACCGAATTACGCTACATATCCGACTGGCAATGAAGCCGCGATCCCATGTTCATGACAACGCTCACCCAAGCTTCCCACTGCGCCTCTGGACTCAAAGGTCGTGCATGAAGGGTCTTAGAGTCTTGGATATCCGAGACTGCATGCCTTGAGAGTTTCTCGCAATCGACCAAGCCCACAGAAACCCCGCACGCTAGGCCCCTCGGCACAGCAGGGCTTCCCAAGCCATGGCGTCGCACCAACCCGACCGCGAGGACATGGCACCGTTTCTGCTGCGCGTCTTCTACAGACATGGCGCCTTCCACAGGCAAGCCCCTCCACAATGATTCGACAGCGAATTGCCACTGACCGATTCTCCAGACCAGACGAGTTCGCCGCTCGCGCCCTCCCGCCCTCTCTCGATCTCTACACCTGGCCCAGTTGCACCCTCGACGAGCTCGCGCATCAACTTGCCGCCGAACGCCCCACCCTTCTCCCAGACCCGGCGGTCGGAACACGACTCGCCTTTCGCCTGATCTTCCCCGACGCGCGCAGCATGGACAACGCCAGCCACACAGCTCCACGCTTCATGGTGAAGGACCTCGGCAGCGTCGTCATTGGCGATGGCGGGCCGGGCTTGGACGTGGCTGCTGCAGACGATGATACGGACATGGCAGACAGGGTCTCGCCTGTGCGGCAGCGAGGCGGGATGAAGGATGGCTTGCGGACGCTGGAGGGCTCAAAATTCGTCGTCGGTGATTACGTCTCGTGCGCTATTCTGCCGCCGCTACCAGATGGTGCCGTGGCGCCGGAGCCGACCCGTCATATCCGCGCAGGACCCTCGGGCGGTCCTCCGACGCATCACGGACGACGTGACCTGGGGCCGGGGCGGGGGAGGGATTGGGGGGCGGGCGGGTTCCCTCACGGCGTCCCTCACGGCGAATGGAGACGCGGTGAGGCCCTGCCAGACGGACCTGACCGCGGCGCCTGGGGCAGGGGGAGGCATGCAGGCAGAGGCGGCCGCTGAGGCTGCTTTGGAGGAACATGCGGACGGGCAACAAGTCTCTCAATTGGCGTTTGGGTCGGAGGACGGCGCGCGATACCCCATTTACCATTTTCACGTTGGCCCGCATGGGCGATCACGGGCTCGATTTTGCACGTCACAGCAAAGCAGCGTGCACCTTTGTGGGAGAGTGGATTGTAACAAGAAAATTGTTTTGTCATGGCACCGCACTGGATTGCCGCTCTGTTTATCCCTCTGGTATTTACAACCCTTCCCATCGCTCTGTTCGTTCTCTACCGCTCAGCGAGGAGGTCGCCCTTGCGCTTCGCACGCATCTCCCAGAGTCCCTAGTCACACAGTCAATCTCCGAGTGCATCAATTGGCAGCGTGGCGAGCACTTACGTCCGTCTTGTAACCGATGAATCCAATGATGACGGGCACGACAACGGCGTACATCAAGGTGACGCGCGCCGTCCTCTTGGTCCAGCGGAAGTAGAGGTGACGCTGCGACTGCATGTCTGTCAATTGGCGTTAGTTCTTCCCTATCTCGACAGTATTCCTGATCGCTTTCGAACGTACTCCCAAGCTTGATGATGGCCGGGTCCATCGCCATTTCTAGAGGAAAGAATGTTAGCCTTAGTCGATGGAGTAGGTCTCGTCTTGTCGCTCACTGTTGTGGGGTACGCCGCCTGCCATTGTGTCGACGAGGGAGCCGCGCTCGGAGGAGGTAGATTGGTGGTTTGGGTGTCGTTCGACGGTGCAGCGGGGGGTTCAATCACGATCTCGTCGTCGGATTGAAGCAGTCTCGAACGCTTGATGCATTGGACTGATGTTGGGATAGGCTCCTTACGTAAGGTTGAGGCCTGGGAAACAAGGCCAAATAAGTGTACCGTTTTCTTAGCACGGTATTTGGCCTGCTACAGCGGAGGAGCCGCTCACCTGTCCCACTGGAACCCATGGATTAAAGCGTAATCCAGCACCAATAGTGGCTAGCCGTACAGTGCGGGATTATCTTGGGCTTATCTGTTCCTCACAGAACCTACAAATAAAGCCGGTATCGATGACGGCTTCACATATGCCAACGTGATGACGGTGGCAGCAAGTCCAGGCTTGCAGGCAATTTTAGCCACGTTACAAGTCACGAGGCACGAATGGTTCACGATGCATCGTGCTGAAGCTGAGTTGCGAACCCTCAGCAACCTCTCGAGTTGTCGATCACCATTCGCGCCGAGGCACATGTCAAAGGTGGGGCAGAATGGAGGCTTAAGTGCCGATGAAGCTCCAACCTTGCCCGGATAGATTGCGCGCCGGGGCTAGGAGGCGATGCCATTTCAGAGGGGTGACCTCATCTTGTTCAAGGAAGACTGCGTTCACGTTTCCTTCGTACATGTTTTCTAATCGACACACAGTATCAGCTTTCTTCAAACGCAAACAACCAGAGCAAACACAGACGTCATGGCAGAAGCACAGGATGCCCATGTAAAGCTTTACTGGTACGCTGTTCGCCACCACTTGATGTGCTTCTGATCTAACATGTTTCCAGGCTGAACAAGTCCCGCGCGCAAAACATTCTATGGCTCCTCGAGGAACTCAATGTCAAGTACGATGTCAAGCTGTTCCACCGTAGCAAGGAGACAATGCTGGCACCGCCTGAGCTGAGCAAGGTCCACCCACTCGGCAAGTCGCCTGTCATCGAGATCACCCCGCCTGGCTCCACGGACTCGATCAAGCTGGCAGAGAGCGGCTTCATCACGCAGTATCTCTGCGACCACTTCCCTGAGGGCCAGCGCCTCATCCCGCAGAAGTGGAAGGAAGGCAGGGAGAACCAGATCGCTGGTGAAACGGAGGCCTGGATGCGGTACCAGTATCTGCTGCACTATGTCGAGGGCAGCCTGATGCCCATACTCGTCATGACGCTGATCATCTCATGTGAGGCTCATTCGGAAGAGTGAACAAGCATACCCAGTGTGACTGACGTGCTGCAGCGCTCAAATCCCCAAATGTGCCCTTCTATGTCCGTCCCATCACGACGGCCGCCGCCAACAAGGTCATCGCCATGGCTGTCTTCCCCAACGCTAAGAAACACCTCGCCATGATTGAGCAGCTGCTTGAGACGGTGCCTGATGGAGGCAGCTATATCTGCGGTAAGACGCTATCCGCGGCCGACATCCTCCTTAGTTTTGCCCTCATCGCGGGTGAGCATCGCTTTGATGCCATGGGTGAGTGGCCCGGTGGCTCGGCCAAGGCGGCGCACCCCAAGGTCTTTGAGTACATCCAGCGCCTCAAGCAGGAGCCTGGTTACAAGCGCTCGACGGACAAGATTCGAGAGCTCGATGGAGAGTTTGAGGAGCCGGCAGCTTTGAAGAAGTAAGGCCTCTGCTCATTGGTCCATTGTTGCAAATGCTTAGATGAGATCAGGCGTGAATCCCGCATCTGAGGTCAAAATGATGCCCCTATGTGAAAAGAAAAGAAAATGAAACAGAGGAACGCGCGATAAGCAATAGACCGCAACCTGATGCACAACCAACCTGAGCATTCATAATTTCGCCGTGTTTGTGACCAACGAGAAGCCCTTTGCACCCGTTGTTTTGCATGCCAGCTGGCGACGGCTGGCGGTAAGCTGGATCCCAGTCTGGCAGCTTCAATCGACGTCAATTCTCCAGGTGCGATTTGACGATCGAAACCCAGCAAAATCCTCCAACTCGCCGTGTTGTCTGCTCTGCGCCACAAGATGCGATGTTTGCCGCGAGGACGATATGCACAACCTGCCGATCGAGGCTCCTCGCCGAGACGGTAGCAAAGGGCGCCTCCGTCCGCCACCAGTCGACGGTTCCTGCAGCTTCAACGTTCCTTCACTCGACAGAAACCACCCGATCAAACCACGATGCGACAAAACGACACAAACACGTTCCGACGCATAAACCAATCTCTGCCACATCCGAACGCATACCTCGAGGCTCAAATGACGGCAATGCAAAGAGGCGAGCTCTCGATCTGTTCGAGAGCACGATCAACAGCGCCCGACGATCCGAGTCCCAGGCAGAAGCAGACACACAGAAGCTTCACCAGATAGCGCGGAACATCGACGCCATCCTGCACAACGCGAGGGAGAATCCGGAAGAACCCTATGCTGCAGCACTTTATGCATGTGTTATTGATGATATTCTTCCCCTACTGCGCCAATCCGACAGCGGCCTTTTGCCGCAGTTTGCCTACAGCAAGGCGACCGAGGCGTTACGGGCGGTCCTCGACGTCAAGGTCAACGCATGCGACGATCCAACCCTGCCCAGGGCCTCAGAACTTTGTGGCACGTTGGCAGAGATTGGAATGAAGACACCGGGACGCCTGGATCCCTTCCTCGGGCTCTTGAACTGGCTCATCGCCAAAACACCAGCCGAGGTCAACGCGGCTGGCAGCCCTTCGGTTGACTCTGCTGTTTTCGACCAGCACCTCTTGGAAGACTTGCTAGGGTGCTGGAAGGGACTGTCTCTTTCGAGGCATGCCTATAAGGCTCGTGGCCTTGACACACGACGCCCAACACCACGAAACCCACGGAACATCAGCGACCCGCTCTACAATTGCCACGTCGAGTTCCCGTTGCTCGTCTCTCTAGATCCCAAGAAGCTGGTGGTGGTTCTCGCCACCACTTTTGTCCTACTGTCGGACCCCAGGGTGCAATCCGCCGCGTCTACAGAGGCTCTTGAGGCGGTGAAGAAGGAATTGAAAGTTTTTGTCCAGCCTTTCGACGCAGCCAAGCTCGAGTCGCATTTCACGGCAAACCCGGCGTTATGGGAATACGTCGCACCACGCATTGACTGGGCGCCATTGCAAGCGCGCATTCAGAGCAAACCAAAGCAGCCAATTGAGTTTCACTCACCGACCAAGACGGCGCATGCCAACGTCAAGGTTCCAACCAAACGCATCTCGTATTCGGCCTGGCACAAGCGCTTAAGTACACTTTTCAAACTCAACGATGCCAACGGATTGCGAGAGGCATGGGAGGAACTAACAAATCCTGTCAACGATACTGACAGGGCCGACAAACTGAGGCAGTGCCCCGAGTTATTCGACTACGTGCTCAACCAGTGCTGCAGCAAACACGGGTCCGGTGGAGACAAGTTTTGGGAGTCATTTACGAACCAGACAATGGAGTACATGAACAACATTGGTTTAGTGCCGACCATCAGGACATATACCTCTATGATGGAAGGTTGGAAGATTGCCAAGAGGCTTCGATCAGTCCAACTATTGTGGAACCAGGTCGTCGAGTCTGGCATGGAGCTCGATCACCACATTTGGTCGAGCAGGATCTCTGCTAACGGCGCTCTGGGCAATCCCAACGCTGGCATGAAGGTGTTGACAGAGATGCAAGCTATCTGGGAGGAGGCGGTGGCCACCGGTACTCAACACAAGGCTGTGAAGCCAGACATTAGCAGCGTCAATGCTGCCATCTCAGGTTTCCTTCGAAATGACCGTATGAGCTCTGTCCAGGACGTTCTCGCTTGGGCCAACAGTCAGAGGATTGAGCCTGACATATTCACCTACAACAAGCTTCTCGGCTACATGCTCAAGAAGGGTCGCATGGAGGAGGCTGACAACATTCTCTCGAGCATGAAGAACTCGGGCATCAACCCGGACAGCGCTACCTTTACAATCATTCTCGAGACCGCGCTCGCAGAGATGTCTATGCAGGATCCTGATGCCCAGCGCGTCACTGTTCGACGCGTCTTCGCCGAGATGGCCACTTGCGGTCTCGAACCGAACCAGCAGACGTACGCCAAGATGCTACACCTTCTTGTCCGTTCTGGCGACGGCGCCAAGGTCCCCATCGAAGCCGTTTTGTCGCATCTCCGTGCCTCGGGCCTGCAGCCATCGCCGCAGATTTGTACCATCCTCTTCGAGTACTACTTTTCCCGCCGGCCCCGCGACTGGGACGCCATCCGCGCCCTCATTACAGACCGCCGTTCGCGCACGCGCGTCCTGACGGACCGCATCTTCTGGGAGACGGTCATGCGCCACTTCCACGCCGCCGGCGAGGTTCGCGCCGCCCTCGAAATATTCTACGACATGGACGACTGGGGCATCTGGCCCTCGCTGTCGGTCCTCGAGCCCATCCTGCGCTCGCTAACGGCGGCGCGCGAGTGGGAGGAGGCCCAGAAGCTCGTGACCACGGTCAGGAAGCAAGCGCGGCCGCTCTCTGCGGACCCCGATGGGCGCTATTATAAGCAGGCCTTTTGGTTTGTGGCTCGGGATTGCGGCCTGATGCAGGAGGAGGCTTGATAAGACGGATGTATCTGTAAAATAGTGTATGGGAATCCAATGTACATTTCGACGTCAAGCGGGTCAGTCGTGCGTCCTCGGTGCTTGTGAAGGTGTAGTGTCTGACGGGTTCATGACGCATGGCCTAGTCATCGGGTGGTCAGAGGTGTATGCAACTTAACCGAGCTGAGATGCGGCAGTGTCTTGTTAGACAGAGTCACTCCCTCGAGCCATTGATGTGACCGATGAGAGTGTCACAGCATAGCAAGAGAAGCAACTGGGGAGTGACAGCCATGGCAACTATGTAGCTTCAGAATATTTTTGCTGCATGCCGTGGGACGGAGGATGACTTTCTTCGCTTTATTGCGATTTACTCAATCTTTCCCGTACTCTCGTTTATCCATTTGGCACCCGAAGAAAGGCACATGATTCCGGGCATCACTTTGTACCTCTACCCCTATTTCCAAAGATCGAGATCTCGAATTGCTACGATAAGGCACGCAAGCTTTTAAAACCACATCAAGAGCTGTTTGTTGCTGTCTGCAGGCGTATACATGCCTTCGATATGTGACTACGTTAATTTGTTTGCTTCAAACAGACAAATGTAAAGACCGACCAAGATTGACTGGTCAATGGAAACAGGGAGGAACGCCGGAGAATATTGCAGTCAACCAACCACCACACAGCAACATTATGCGGCCAGAAATGCGGCCCAGCGCCGCCCTTTGATAAAAAGAAAATGCGAATCGGTCATGACCACAACACCAGAATAGAATCGCAAAAAAAAAACATCAACAACATACAACATCAGGGATTCGCTGGTGGTCACCCACCCAACTACTAGTCCGACCCTTACTGGCTTATCTATGGGAGAGCGGACGGGATCCCGAGTTCTCCAGTAGGTATGGTCGTATGTGCTTGGTCGCGTGTTGCGCAACCTCATAGCCTTAGAGAAGGGACAACTGAAAGCCTACTATGCGTTTCTGGTATCATCTGCTAATAAGGAATCTTTTGACGGCACGACGCTGGCATGCTTGGTCAAATCCTGACGGCAAGCAATGAAGACCCTTGCTATTCATAACTCAGCCATATGTAGGCCCTGTGTCTGTCGTCAGCACTCTGGCATAATCTGAGCTCTCAAATGAGGCTTTAGTAAACAATAACAATAATAAAACCGGTCGTTATCTTCGGGCGGTTCTCAAGACTTTGCATGAGTCCTTGCCATCATGGATTCATACTCTCTGGGACGACTGGGTGTTCGGTCTTCGCATAGGCTGTACCAAACGCCCCTGGTACTGGAAAATCAAGACATGCAAAGAATATCGTTCTATTCCCAAGTGTTGAGACCAATATCGAGTTCGGTTCGAAAAAGAAGACGAAAAAAGTATTGATCCGGATGCCGGAATTTGTCATAAAAAGTGATTGCCAGTTTCCGCAGGTAACACCGGAATGCTAGCGTCTGAATCTGCTGTTATTGAAAATTCACTGGCAACATGACATGATCGACTGTCTTATAATACTTCCTTTTCAAGGCAGATAACGGGAGGAGCCTAGAAACTGAGCCCAAGGGTTCCGCGAAAAGGGCCACCGGCTATAGCAAGAGAAAGACTCACTCGGTTTGGCGGAAAAGGGGGGGGAGGGGGGTAACAAGAATCTAGACAAGTATGAAGAGAGATGCTCAGAAGCGCTGCATTGACAATCACGAACATCTTATAAAGATTTATTGAGCTAATGTGTAAGAATCCGTATCACCTTGGGATGCTGCAAGACCCTCCTTTCGTCATTGCACCTCGCTCAGCTGCATCTGTTACGAGTCGCCGTCCCATCATGGCTCTGCGTTCCCCATGCAGCGGTTCCGACTTCTGCCTCTGCTTCCTCACAGCCGTGACTGTTGATGTGGTGGCTGATTCTGACGCCCGGACATCCTGAGTGGAATCAGCCGAGCCCTGGCCCGCTCAGCTTATTGACCGCGCACCTGTTCGTTGCCATCAAGTCACGCTTTCTCATGCGTCGAGTCGAGTGTTTGCTCGCGGTCGCAACTTCCTGCGCGATGCCTTGGCGAACTGATGCCGTTGCAGTAGAGTCCGTTCTAGCGGCGGCTTGCAAGGCGAAGTGTTTCCTTCTCGGCTCACTTGGAGGTGCCGATACGCGCGCTTTGCGGATACCCCTTGCTGTATGCTTTGCCATGGCCTCCAGCCACCATCCTCTGGATGCTTTCGTCGTAAATGTCATACCTCGTTGGGCAATCTCGCCCGACTTCAAGACTCGTCCATCTCGTCCTCGTTTCTTGAAGACGCCTCGCCGCTGCCGCCACCAAGCGCAGCGGCCATATTCTCGAGGCCCTCGACCTCCCCCTTGGCGAACTTCTTGCCCTCGCCCTGCCATTCGCCATCGCGAACCTCGCCGTTCTTGCCGAGCTCGAGCCCACGCACATTCTCGAGGTGCTTCCTCGTAGCCACCTCCACGTACTCGACCCGCTCGCGCCGCCAGCCCTTCCTCCTGTCGTCGTTCCCGTCCTCGTCCCCCTGACCGGCCAGGTCGGGCATGAGATTGGTCAGAGACGTCGACAGCGCGCGCAGGGCTTGCAGTTGCGACAGCGTAAAGGCCGTCGTCGTCGAGATGGGCGTCCGGGCATCGGCGTCCTGGAGACCCCCCTTGGCGTGCAGGAAACCAAACGGCGCGCCGGCGCCCTCCTCGGCCTTGACGGCGTGCTCGCAGTCGCCGAGCGCGGCCCTCGCCGGTCGGCCGCCGGTCGGCGCCGCCCCAGCGACGGCGGCGCGCAGCTTGGCCAGCAGGGCGGCGTTGCGGGCCTTCTCGGCGCGCAGCATGACGTTGAGGCGCTGGCTGCCCTGCAGGCTGCGGCGCACGGCGTTGCCGCTCTCGGGGGTGGGCGCGCCGTCGCGGGCGGGGGCGTCAAAGTCGTGGGGGCCATAGTGCGACAGGCGCAGCCAGGGGCGGGCGTCGGGGCTGAGGCAGATGAGGTAGCGCATGACGTAGAGCTCGAAGATGTCAAAGTTCTTGTCAATGGCGTTGCAGAGGAGGGTCTCGAGCTTGTGGACGCCGTCGGCGACCTCGAACTTGGCGGCCTCGTCTGCGGTGCGGGGCGGGTCGGCGGAGGGGTTCTGTTTTGGTTGCTGCTGCTGCTGCTTCTTGAGGGCCTTTTCGAAACCGAGCGTCTTGGCGCTGGCACCGGTGAGGCCTTGCTCAACGCGATCGAGGGTGCGGTCGGCGAGGGAGTTGACAACGTTGATGATGCTGTCGAGGAGGGACTGGGGTGGTTGATCAGTGGAGGTTCAAGCAGGGGAGGTTTAAGCAGGTTGGCGGGGGAAGGGCTGGACATACGACGGGCGCATATCCGAGATGCTCCGTCAGGATCTCAGTGTCGGTGATTTGAGGTTGCGCCATGGTCGCAATCAATGGTGCTGCCGACGGGGCACCACACCTGGCAAAGTGTAGATGTGAAGGATGTTGGAGGTTGCAGAAGAGCGGGTGCGACGCGACGTGACGCGACGAGTGGATGCGGGATGCAGGCGGGGGAATGGGAAGCGCCTGTAGAGGCGCCTGTAGAGGCGCCTGTTGAGGGGTTCGGATCTGTGCGGCCTGGCGCAGGGTCCGGGGCACTATCCTTGCAGCGCCTTAGCGCCCGCGTCCCATTCCACAGTGGGCTACATGCCTGGAACACAGCATTGCCGCACGTGAGCCAGGTAATAGAGAGAACGAAGGAGAGGATGGGTTGGAAGTTCAGGTCTCCAGTGAATGCCCGTAATGAAGAAGCTTGATTTGACAATAGCCAACATACCATACACTCAGATATGTTGTAGTTGCAGCGTTGGCTCCATGCCTTCACGCGGATCCGATCGCCCAGCATCTATAAGACACTGCACATCGTGTGTTCTTCGTGAATACAGTTGTAGAACATGTAGGATTCGACGTTCCGAGGACAAACAGTGCATCTTGGTTGGTCTATTTCTTCAATACATTTAAATGGTCAGCTTGCTGTGGACTGCAGAAAGGGGTTGGCGTCACAAGAGAAACACCAACAATAGCAAACGATTCAGTTTCTGATAAAACAAGGTGTTTGAAGCTTTGGAGCAAATAACAAACGATGTCAGTGAAACGCCCAATAACGGAACTTGCAGAGTCCTTATGCTTACTATATAGTATAATAGGGTTCTACGATGGCATCGCGCTTCTGCGGGCCAAAATGTATGCCTGCAAGTCACTTTGTGCAGACTCGACGCAGCAGGTCTCACCTGCGTCTCCTTAACCCAATCTTCTGGCCGTGGCAACCGCTTGGAGGAGGAAGAACTCTCCTTGCATTGCCGGTGGCCTCATCAATGGCATATTCTTCCTGCATTGTGGATATCTCATGACCATGGTTTGTTCTTGGCAGCACTGAAAGCTGGTTTCCGCTGATGTATGAATACATGCGAAGCATCAAACTCCGGCCGACAGCTGACTATGAACATCAAGTGCGCCGATATTCAGCATTTTCACGCAACCATAGACCTCAAGCACTTTATCAGAACCACAAGCAGTGGATGCGCCCCTCGATTTACTAACCTTAACTGTGCGGCTTCGGAGTCACATGAACGCTAGCATCAGCCCGACTCCCCTCGAGGCTGAACGATTGAGCATGAGCTCATGACTATGACTGACACTTCTAACACTAATCTTCACCCTGCCTCCATCTTTCCTGCCAATAAAGGAGACAGCGTCAATCGGAACGCCCTCCGGCTCGAGCTGCCAAGTTCAACATGGATAGGATGGCAGACACCCACAACATGACATGCGCACGAGGTAACACTCCCACCACCAGGCTCAGGGCCTCGGCCAAAAGCAACCGGAACATGACGTGACGCACATTTCAAATTGCAAGCAAGTGTACATCTATCTGTTGTTGTTACAAAGGCGTCTCAGCTCCCTCGGTAGAATACACAAGACGGGCTCAACACCCGCCCAGGAAACACAGACACAACGACAAGAGCTCACACGCCGAAGCGGAACTCCCTAAACTTCTTCTGGTAGTAAAACGTCGACAGCGCGCCGGCGACGGTCAGGCCGAGGGCCGGACGGGACTTTGCCTGCGTGGCGATGAGCCGCTGGGCGCCGGCGCCCAGCAGGACGACGCTGCTGCCGAGGGCGAGCTCGGCGCCGTAGTCCTTGTTCTTCTTCAGGAGGTATCCTGCACACAGAGAGTGGTAAGCTAGAGCTCAGTGCCTCGTGGCGCATTGAGCAGGCGGAGCGAGACGAGATTCGCAGCACGGCCTGGGAATACGGGCCACGCCCCCCACCCAGAGGCCCAGAGGGGGAGAGGACTGACCTGCAAAGGCAAAGCTCGTGCCGAGAGTCAGGCCTGCGATGAGAGACGGCTTGGAACGCGTACGGACGAAACCGAAGGTGCCGCCGGCGGCCACTGTTGGGCGAGCGGGTACACGTGAGCATTTGACCTGGGAATGGGAGGGGCTGTTCGGAGCGTTGGGACTTACACAGGCCAGCCAATGTGAATGCGGGGTGCTCAGCCATGACTGTGACGTTTGCGCTGCGTGTGAGATGGATGGCAAGGGAGGTAGAATGAGCATACAAGGTTGAGCTCGGGGGTTGACAGCTTTCGAGTCGTCGAGGTCGTGATCTGCTGAGATAAGCGAAAAGAAATGAGTGAAAGGTCCGAGTGGGGCCGGACTTTCGACCTGGCGATGACGTGCCGAAACTTGACCGTCATGCGAACGAGGAGCGAGAAACGGGCCGAAAATTGGTATTTCAAGTCGTTCAGAATGGAAGCATGTGAGTAATAGATATGTCTTTATCGAGGACGACGATCACAGCATTGAATTAAAAACACCACGAACAGCCATTGAGCTTGCTCATCGTTGCAAATCCATTGTGTATTCATAACCCCAAACTCCTCATCAAGATATATATCACGTCGCTTTTGCACGACCATCTTTAGGCTCGTTCTCCGGCTTCCTTAGGCTTCTCTTCAGGCTTCTCTGCTGGCCTCTCTTCCGGCTTGCCTTCTGGCATTTCTTTGGGCTGCTCCTCTGGTTTCTCCTTGGGCTTTTCCTGCTTATCATCAGGTTTCCCTGCAGAAGGATCCTCTGGCTTGCCCTCTGGCTTCTCCACCGGTTTGTCTTCCTGCTTCATTTCTGGCTTCTGCTCTGGCGTGACTTGTGGCTTCTCCTCGGGCTTGCTTTCTGGCTTGTCTTGCGGCTTCAATTCTGGCTTAAGCTCCGGCTTGATGTCAGGTTTGGCCTCCAGCTTGGCCGCCTCCTTTTCAGGCTTCTTTACTGGCTTCTTCGTCCCAATGACCGGCGCCGCCTCGCCACTGCACAGCTTCTGCAACGGAATAAACGGCTCGTCGACGGCATCCGTAAAAACGCCACCAAACTCATCCTCGAGCTCCACGTTCTCCGGGTACCGGTGCGCGACAACCCAGATCCGCCCATCAATGGGCCGCGGGTGTATGGGCTCGTCAGCCTGGATGGCGCGGACAGCGGCGCGTAGCAGGGGCCGTAGGACGGGGAAGAACCACGAGTCGTAGTACTTGTCGACAAAGGCCTTCTTGCTGCAAGTGTTGTGGTAAAAGGCGTAGATGTGGCGCGTGGCCGTGTTCGTGCCGAGGCGGAGGCCAGCGATCCAGGCGCGGGCCGAGTCGACGGGCCGCTCGTCATCGAGGAGGGCGTCGAAGAGGCGGCGCAGGCCGCGGTAGAGCGGCGCCGGCATCTGGATGGTGTAGCCGGCATCGAGGACCCCGGCGGCCTTCTCGACCGTGGCGGTGCGATCGTGGTTAGCGAAGCGAAGGCGGCGCATGAACTTTTCGTTGTGGCATTGCGTCTGCGTGATGGCGTAGTCTGTATCGAGGAAGGCGTGGTACTCGGTCACGTCGTGGCCGTCGCGCCGCGGCTCGGGAAACGTGTAGTCGTCGCGCCCCCCGGGGAAGACGCCATCGTTGAGGTCGAGGGCGCGCTGGTACTCCTGCCGCGCGTAGAGCGTCGAGACGTAGTACTGGTCCGAGTTGTGGTACTTATACTCCGGGTCGAACGTCTCCTCGATGAGCGCCAGCGTCGCATCGATCAGGGTCCGCAGGTCGCCCAGCGGTCCGATAACGGTGCCTGAGTTGACGAAGCGCGAGTCGCTGAACGGCAGGCCGCCGGTGCCCGTTTCAGGGCCCCAGACGTAGCGGGGTAAGGTGGAAAAGGGGACGAGCCAGCAGCGCGGGTCGCGCTGCTTCTCGTCGCCGTTGCCGCTACTGGGGAAGCACCCCTTGTCGGTGCCCCAGAGGACCGTCTGGCGCAGGCCCTTGGAGTGCACTTCCTCGACGGTAAGGCCGCGCTGATCGGCTAATCTCTGATCGGCGGCGGCGGCGACTTCAAAGTAACGCTGGATCAGGGCCTCGGCGGGGATCTGGGCGAGGACGTCGAAGCCGTCGACAACAATGACAAGATCATCGTCCTCGCCGGCGGCGGGGCCATGAAGATAGCGAGTAATGGCCCGCAGCTTTGCAATGTGAGCCGCCTTGGCGTCAAAGTCGCCCGTGGCCTTGTAGCCGACAAGCACTGGAATCGGAAAGCGGTTGACGAGGGCTGAGGCCACGACGGCGCACACGGGCGGCTTGACCAACGTCGTCGGGACGAGATAATGCAATCGGGAGATTCTGCCTAGGCTTGTTACGTGTGGTCGCGCCCCCGGACCGGCCTGGGAATTACTTGAGGGTGATTCTGTGGGCTTTTCGGTTGTCTTGGTCTCGGCTCCGGTGGGTTGTGCGGTGTGTAGCATAGATTCTAGGGAAGAACGAGATATAACCTACACCACCATGTTAACAAAGGAACGACGGTCAAGTCGCAACGGACTTCTGCGACCAAACTATGAAAATGCCTACCCTATACTGAATGACCAGGGCTGTGAAGAAGAGCAAGAGCAGAAAGCTGACGACACCGTAAGAGGTGCGCCGGGATGCGCTGGCGAGCATAGCGGTGGTGTTGCTCGGCGATGTCGAGCCACGGAGTTGTATTACAGAAAAGAACAATCGTCTTACACGGGCTTCAACTACCTGATGGCAGTGAGAGGTCCTACACGTGCCTGAAAAAAGTGTCTGACGAAACGGCTCGGATGTCCGGATGACAAGGTGGTCAGACGAAGGGGGGCACGACACTGATGCGCGTTGAGATAGGAGAACATAGATTGGCCACGAAGCATTGCCGGCTCTGAAGGAGGCAGCGTCATCTTAAAGCAGAAACGGGAAAACAAGGGAACGGCGGGATGGACGAAGCAGAGTGAGAAGAATACAGTTGCCTACCCGCTTGGGACGCGGCACAGCACAATAGCTTGGCCCTGTTGGCGGCACAAGGCATTGGCTCGTCCTGAACAGGATGATGGATCTCGTCTTCTCCACAGGACCTTTGCAAGCTGGGCATTCCTGGGCACGCCACCAAGGAGAGAACTAGAGAAGCGGCGAGGAGGCAGTCAAGCCTCGTGGCACTGGGGGCCAGCGCTGGTCTCAGCCATCATACTTGTCCACGACAACATGTGGTTGGAGGTTCGACTGCGTGGGTGTGGACATGGGCGCGAGACAGCCACGAGACGGCGACAGACATCCAAGGGGGGATGGCGAGCCCCATGGATATTGGCTGCGGCTTATGCCCTGCGCCTGGCGCCCAGCTTCAGCGATGTAAGTAAAAGTGAGGCCAGGCCAGGTGACTGTTTTTAGGTGTGCCTGTGGTTCTTGTCTGCGCGCCTCGTCGATCGGATCGGGTTTTTGGGGGGGGGGGGGGGGGGGAGCCGGACGCCAAAGCAAGGGGATGGCTGACAAGGGCTGAGGAGCCAGATCCCTGCAGCCAACGCAATAGAGATGGGCTTTGCAGGCCATGTTGGCGGATTTCGGAACAAGAACCAGACTTGGCCATGGAGTATGCTGGAGAATTTGCACGCCAGCCAAGATGGTGGAAGAATGAGACGATGCAGGAGTGTATTGTCGTCTCGAGGCCGGACTTTCCCTTCCGGGGCGCCCCACCGTTGCCGTATATCCTTGGTCTCTCTTTCTCTCTCTCACTCAAACAACCAACATAAGGACGTGACCTCTCCTCTTGGCAGTGGGTGAGAATGTCGGGCGATGACTGCAGGAGAGAGGTGTTTTTTTCTCGCACCTCATTTCGACAACACGAGAAACCTTACAGAAGCTGAGTTTGCTAAACGGTGCTGTGCCTCACTCGTGATTCAACTTTAACTCACAAATAGAACCAACAGGGCGGAGGAGGTACATGTACCGTGGATGGGATGCTTGTTCGCAGCTTCCTGATGATGAGAGAAAGTATCAGTACATCGGCCGCGTGAGGAGCACAGCCGGGGCTGGGCTGCAGCGACCCGAGACCCCTGAAGACTAGACGATAACGCACACCAACATGTACTGGGCACCTACCTTAAGGGGACGACCTCGCTGAGAGATCCGTGGACCCCTGTGATCTGTGATCGGCCGCCCCCAAGACGTTGACAGCTGCCGACGTGGGATGGCCCACTAGGTACCTCAAGACCTTACCTACCTACCTTAGGCTGCTAGGTAGGTAGCTGCCAGGCCTCTCCAGGTACCTACCTATCTACCTACCTAGGTACCTAAGTACATGTACCTAGGCTTTGCCGGCGATCGCTGACACATCATCCACTTGCATCCATCCACCATTCGGGGAGGTACAGAGGAGGGGACAGCCTTGACAGCCCAGTGCTAGGAACTCGATGCACTTCCCCGCGATCCGACCTTTCGCCTGGCAGATCACAAACCCAGCTGCCGCAACCACAGACGCAACCACAGACGGCGCCAAACCCCGCCTGCACGCCATCGCTCCTCGGCTTCCACCCACAAGTCAGAAGTCGTCCACCTCGCCAACATGCCCGACTTTGGCTCCATCGTCAAGGGCGGGTGGCATCCCGAGAAGAAGGGCACCACCTTCAAGGGCCAGATGGTGCGTAGCATTCCGTCCTTGTCTCACGACAATCTCCACTGTGCCACGCGATGCGCCACCACGCAGCTTCACTGACATCCCTCGTAGAAAGGCCTCGTGGGAAGAGGTGACAAGGACAAGGACGAAGAGCGTGCCAATCACGTCTCTCGACCCATCGCCTCCCTGCGAGATCCAGCCTCTTTTGCCCCTCCTCCCAAGCGCACCGCAGACCAGCCTCTGCCGCCGCCCATCTCCCGCACGAGCACAGCATCCTCCGCCGCCGGCGGACCTCCGTCCTACAACGACTCCAACCGCTATGCTACTCAGCAGCAGCAGCAGCAGCAGCAGCAGTATGGCGCCGTCGCCGAGGAGGAGGACGACACGCCGGCCCCTCCGAAGCCCTACCGGGTCGACACGACCGGCCTCTCGACGTCCCATCTGCCGCCGCCCCCCAAAATGAAGAACATGGGCATCGCGCCGCCCCCAACCCCTCCCTCCGCCGCCGCCTCCGCCGCCAGGGCTCCGCCGCCGAGCCTGCCCCCGAGGTTGCCACCCCGCACCCCCTCGGCCCCCTCGACGCCCGTCCAGAGCCCCGCGCCCACCGGCGCCTCCGCTAACGCGGCGAGCGGCGGTGGCGGCTACCTCAACCAAGGCGCCCTGAACCGTCTCGGCGCAGCCGGCGTCTCCGTCCCGGCCTTTGGCATCGGCAGATCCTCCTCTCCAGCCGCCCCGGCCCCAGCACCGGCCGCCGCGCCATCGCCCGCCCCGGCCCCCGCCGCCTCGCACATGAGCGAGCTCCAGAACCGCTTCTCCAAGCTCAACAAGCCCTCCTTCGGCGCATCCTCGCCAGCCGGCGTTCCCACCGGCAGCTACGGCGCCACGAGCCTCCCGCCCGCCGAGGGCACGACCATGGCACAGAAGCAGGCAGCCCTGCGCACGGCGTCCAACTTCCACAAGGATCCGTCCTCCGTCAGCATGGCGGACGCGCGCTCCGCCGCCGGCACCCTCAACAACTTTCGCCAGCGCCACGGCGACCAGGTCGCCTCGGGCGTCCGCACGGCGGGCGCGCTCAACCAAAAGTATGGCATTGCCGACCGCGTGGGCGGGTACGCGGGGCAGGTGGGCGCGCAGCAGGAGGGCGTCACCCAGGGGCAGGGTCGGGCCGAAACCGCGTCGACCGTCTCGTCGTCGTCGGCGGCGGTGCTGCCGCCGCCGGGGCTCGCGGGGAAGAAGAAACCGCCGCCGCCGCCGCCGCCGAAAAAGAAGCCTGCCCTAGCCGGGGTTCCGCAGCAGCAGCAGCAGTCGCCGTCTGCGGACGACGGGGGTCCGCCGCCGCCGGTTCCCCTATCGACGAGACCTCAGTGGTGATGCGTTTCTGATTGTCTATCCCTGGGTACTATTTATTCAACATAGAGTCTGTAGCGAGTGCGGTTCCTAGCATTAGAGGCGTTATTTTCTTTTCCTGGCCTTGAGCGCATCATGCCAGCAACACAGCCACATTCTGATGAAAGGTATCGCTGCACGCTGTTCATCATTCATCATCACGGATTAGGCGCATTTCAGATTTGTGAAATTATGCACCAGCGGCAAAACGCCACCGACACGACTTTTTTTTGCTTTGCTACGGGTCTCATGAGGTATATGCCAAGGCAGATGGGCGATTCATCACTGGTGATTGACCAGGCGGCGCCATGATGGTGAGAGTTTGCTCTTCTCGTTATCGAAAAGCGGAATTTCGTGGACTACGTTATGAGATATGAAGATTCTTCTTCTGCCGGAGGAATTTGGCGGGAGGGACGGCGGGACAGAACAAAAAGTCTATTTACACCTTCTCCTCCTTGAGGCCGTGCTTGAAGACGACAATGTAGGGGGTGACGCCGTCCTCGCGGTAGTTCATCAGGACGATGCTGAGAGAGGCGAGTGGGTTAGCCTGGGACGTTGCTTCTTGGCGGTACCCCTTTCTTCTAGGGCATGCGGTGCCGTAGGGAGGGGCTGGATAGACTTACGCTCCGTCGGGGTTCATGGACTCGCCAGTGTAGAACTCCCAGTCCTTGAAGTTGGGGAGGAGGGTCTCCTTGACGTAGGTCTGGGCGCCCTTCTCAAACTTGGTGATCTCCTCAGCAGAGGCACCAGTCTCCTGGAGGTGGGCCTTGACGGCCTTCATGTAGCCCTTGAGGTAGGACAGGTAGCCCTTCTTGTCGAAGGAGGTGGACTGGAGGCGGAAAGAGTTGACAATGTTGTTGACCTTCACAACGTCGTCATCGAGAGCCTCCTCGGCCTCCTCAGCGGAAGCGTTGGCACCAGTGTCTGAGAGGAGATCGTCGTTAGCGAACGGAACTTTGGGTGGCGGGGTGTTGCTGCTTGGAGGGGGGATTTCCAGTCAGCAGACGCGGGGAGGGTCAGTACGCACTGACGCTGACGGCGCCGAGCTCGATCATGGCGCAGTCGGCCTCGAAGACGACACCGCCGATCTCCTTGAGGTCGTACGAGTCGGAGATGAGCTCGTCACCGGTGAGGATGTCCTGTTGTTGAGAGATGCGGGGTCAGCGATTCTGCAGTTTGAATTATCCCACTTCTCTGCCCCTCTTCCTACGTCGCATGCGCGGGGCATAGGAGGGGCCGAGGTAGATGCTGGGGGATTCCATGGCGTACCTTGTAAATCTTCATGTTGACGGTTTGAGGGGGGTGTTGTATTGTTGGTGATGTAAAAGAGAGTCGTAGGGAGACGGATGTCCTTGTTTGTAGTTCGGGCGGGAAGAGGTACAGGCGGGGTGAGAAAAGAATCTAATAAGTCTTTCTTCGCGCAAAATTGGAAAGTGGGAGGGGCGGCACCAGACTGGACGGCGAGTTGGTGGGGTTTTTGGCGCTAAGCCCAGGAGTGGCCTAGCCTCTTCTGCCCGTGGTCCAGCTTTGGAGGCATGCGGTGGTCTGTGCCTCTGCATTGCTGCTTGGATGTTGTGCCTGAGGCTGCTATACAAAGTTCTTCTTTTCCATTTGCGTGGGAAAGGTTAAGGGCCCGAAAAGGGGGCGACGCAAGGGGAGAACCAGGAGCTCATCGATAGCTTCGCCAGCCCAACAGCTGGCGACAGACGGACGAGGCTGTAGGTCGTACTCGTAGATGAGCATTTCTCCAATGGACAGGTGCGAATGCGAGCCCGCGCTCCATGTTGGAGGTTACCTTCAGTCTACCGAGCCGAGCGAGCCTACATCCGAGTGCAGAGGCAGAGGGAGGGAGAGAGGCCTCTCTGAGCTTGGTGCACGTTTTCAGTGGCATGATGCGGCCTGGCTTGGTCCCGAAACAGGAAACCAATGAAGCTTCGGAGTGCATGGCCAGTTCGTCAGGAACTTATTTATTTGAACCATACGCACATCGTTCGATTCGCCCGGAAATCATAGCATCCAGCTCACTCATCTACTGATCCGACATCCGTTTTGCTCCTCGTCGTGTATATGTACAGCACTCGACACCAACTGTGATCGCCCACGTCAACAGCTGCAGGACACACTTAGTCAGCTGCACCTCACAGTGAGATCATCTCCGTCGCTCCCGAGACTCCACTCGCCACCTGCACGGCTCCACGTCCTCAGAGGTCCGTCGACCTCACGTTTGACTTTCCCTTCCAATCTTTCCACGCCTGCGTCCGTTCGACGACCCTACTTTCGACCTTGCGACCGCTTCAACTGCAGACACTCCTTTACACCCAGCTATCGATCATCACAAACAATACAACACCGCCCCTTTTTTCGCGATCTTTCCTTTACCCCGCCACACCGACCATCTCGCCTTGGCCTCCCTTCGTCAGCCTGGAAATTGAGTCGACCCATTGTCATCCCACACGCCTGCGATGGTGAACGAGACCATGGCCACTGTCATGGCCTCGACCAACGCGACTTGGTTCGACGACCTTCCACCTCTTCCTTCCTACACGGAGAAGGCCATTCCAGACATTGTTCCCGGCATCCCGAACTTCTACATGTTCCCCATCCTGCCTATCATCATCTACTGGATCCTCTCCATCTTCTTCCACATTATCGACACATACGACGTTTGGCCGCAGTACCGTCTACACACGCCAGAGGAAATCACCAAGCGCAACCATGTCAGCCGCTACGAGGTCGCCCGTGACGTCGTCGTCCAACAGTTTATTCAAATCGGCATGGCCCTCTTCCTCGACGCGACCGAGGCCGCCCAGATGATTGGTAGCGAGGAGTACGATGTCGCTGTGTGGGCTACGCGCGTGCGCCTCGCCCAGCGCGGACTTCCTGCGCTCCTCGGCTTCCTTGGTCTCAACGCTGCGACCATCTCGAAGAACATGTCGGCCTCGCACCCTTTGATCGCCGGCGCGCTTGCTGGCGGTCACTACCCGTCGCTCATGAGCCCCTCCATCGACGGCGTCAACGCTGTGCCCACCTTTGCACTGTGGGAGCTTTTGGTCGCCAAGGCTATCTACTGGGCCATCATCCCGACCCTCCAGATTTTCATTGGCACCGTTCTGCTTGACACCTGGCAGTACTTCCTGCACCGCCTGATGCACGTCAATAAGTTTATGTACAGTAAGTGGTGACATGGTGATTTCACTTGATTCGACCCCCAATTAACCCCTGGCGACACAGCTACCTTCCACTCGCGCCACCACCGTCTCTACGTCCCTTACGCCTACGGCGCACTCTACAACCACCCCGTCGAAGGTTTCCTGCTCGACACCCTCGGCGCTGGTCTCTCTTACAAGGTCACCTTCATGACCCAAAGACAGGGTCTGCTCTTCTTCTGCCTGTCGACGATCAAGACGGTCGACGACCACTGCGGCTATGCCCTGCCCTGGGACCCTATTCAGCACATCACGAGTAACAATGCTGCCTACCACGACATCCACCACCAGACTTGGGGCATTAAGACCAACTTCTCCCAACCCTTCTTTACCTTCTGGGACCGCTTCCTGAACACCAGGTACAAGGGCAACAGGCAGAACCGCCTGTTGGAAAAGGAGAAGGCAGTCGCCGCCGCCAAGACCAAATGAGCTTTTGATGGTCATATCTCTTTACCCTCTTTTCTTCCACGACGTAATATGTAACAACCTTCTCTTCGACTGTACCCCCCCCTTTTTTTTTTCTTTTTTTTTTCGATCGAGACCGGTTTGGATGGATGGCTGGATCCGCCGCAATGAAGATGGTCCGCGCTGCGAATATACACAGCACACACACACACACACAACACATTCAGGGGTAGGGCATGGACAGGCGTTTTCCTTGTTGTTTTTCGAGCCGATCTTCTTCTTTGGTGTTTTAAACCTCCCCTTGCGTTGTCTTGATAATAGAGTAGGCTTCGGCTCGAGGTCCTGCGTCGATCCGAGCTCGTCTGACGGGTCATAAAACGGAGAGGGGTACGCTCATCTCGACGCGTACTTTCGGCAACTCGTATGGCCTAGATCGCGTTGTTCTTCGGGCGACATGAAGCAAGGTGACATGTGCGGCGGGGCCTCCTGTGACAAGAGGTGGGACGGTGTTCACGGCGGTAGGGGCTTAATTCGAGGTCCGGTCAGACAGTGTGTCCCGTGCAACCTGGGAATGGGAAAATCGGCGACTCGGGGGTTTGTGATTCACCACGCTACACATAATGGAAGTTTTCAGTTTGACCAACTCGCGATCGTGCTACTCGGCGCGGCAGGCTGTGTCTGTGATTGAATTGACCGTGCCTTGCGCTCTGGCTTTGTGAGAATAGGCCTTTGGTATACTACGATCTTGAGTTGCGCCAGGTAGAAACAGAAGAGCACTGCATACACCGTGACGAGGGAGCAGAATGTCAAAAGCGACAAGCTCATCGAAGTGTTGAAAGATCAGACGGAGGGAAGCCCCCTATCCCCCCCCCTCCCTCACACCATCGGACAGTGCTGCGAGAAGAGACCATTTACTCGTCACCGCTTCTCCAGCCTGTCATCACAAGAAGCAATACTACTTCCCAAACCACGGCCCCCGAGACATGGAGCCACAGTCTACGGCGGGTAACCTGGGACACCCCAAATCGACACAGCGTCAGCCGAGAGCCGTGCAACAACCTGACGCATCACCGAAAATACAAGGGCTCCAACGAGCCGCATCGCACACCGAGCGCCCCGGCACCGCGACGTTTCGGCTGGGGGGTAACCCTCCCCTCCCCTCCCCTGATCCACCGCGCCCGTCCTGCAGGCCCCGTCAACATACATGTACATTGGCAAGGGAGATCGGCACCGCGCTTCAGGGTCAGACTTTTGGTGGCAGGAGGCAGAACTCTCTGATGGGGAGATTGGGGGATAGGGGCCTTGTTCGCTTTGAGGAGCAAAAGGTGCTCGGGGCCTCGGCGAGGATCAGGTCAAGCGAGATGTGAGGGCGGAATTGCTGACAACAGAGACGAGGAGGAAAAATAATCGGAGGCGGCGGACTAGAGAGGGATTTACCGGGTTCCGGGGGCTTGTGATCCTGGGGGCTTGGCAGGGGATTTTTTCTGCTGCGGATGCCGGCGCTAGGGGAGGATGCGAGCGAGGATTGTAGAGGATCACAGGATGGGACGAGCGATCATGGTGTGCTCCAACCGTAAGCTTCATTGCCGGAGAGTGACATGTTGCAAGAGTCGAGTATGATTGACAGTCGGAGGATGCTTTTGAATTCGCCGTCGCAACAAACTCTTTTGAGCACGGTCGGTTGGTGCATTCAGCTACCTCTCAATTGCAATGCAGCCGGACCTCACGGCCGTTACTCGGTCGAAGTGGGATGCAGAGGGCCAGGGGTCTCAAACCAGAAGGGTGCAGCATCGAGGTCCCGGCTGGCGGTGTCCGAGATGGCTTCTATTGACGAGGTACCACCCGAAAACTGGCTGGTCTGGTCAAGAGTGGTTACCAGCTGCCACATGGCAGGCTGCGAGAGGGGCTATGGTCGAGCTGAATGCACGAGTAAGCCAATACATGATGCGACCATGGTGATGGCCTTCGACCCAGCCCTCCAACCGCAGCATTGATGGGTAGGAGGACAAGAACACAGAACCAAGTCGTCGTGGTTTCTGAAAGCATACCACCGCATCATCATCACAATGACGAAACGCGCCTGTTTTCATCTCCGTCTCTGACTCGGTAGCTTCGTCCACTGGGTATTCTCCAAATCGAGACGCGAACGGCGACGGGCCAATCGTCTTACATGGGCTACCAATTTGCGTGCTGGGTCCCCATCTTTCTCGAGTCACCAACAACAAGTCGCGGGGCCCGCCCTGGCTGTCATCTGCCACCGAAGCCCCCCCGCTTGGCGCTGGAGCTATTGGGTGTTCCCCCGAACCGTGGCGGCCGTGAGACAATGAGTGGCCCTGAGGTGCAGACGCTGCTTGTTCCTTCTTGGCAGTCGCTCGGGGGCAAGCGGGGCCCTGCGAGATTGCCATACTGGCTGGCGTCTTGCGCTACTGAAGCAGTGCTCGATGGGCGACCGCCTTCGAGCTCGTTGCATCACGCAACACTCAGCTCGACATGGGGCGGCTGGGCTGGGCTGGGCAGGCACGATTTACCTTTGGTGCGTGTTAGCCAGTCGCGACTGCTGCTGTTGTATCGTGGTTTCCCATGTTGGATCAGCCACCCACCGCCTTTCCTTCCGTTTGAGGGAAGGTCATGTCATCGTGGTTTTGGAAGCTGCCTCCTGCCCGCCTTGACTAGGTATCCCATCTGTCCCTCTTCATCAAGAATGGTCGTCTGCCCAACCTTTTCTTTCCCTGTTCTCCTCCACTTCCCGCTGTCCTAGTCAACAGTCCCTGACTCTCGTCCACATTCATCCCTCTGTCATTAGTCGTCCAAGGTTGACAAGCACCCCAATCCCACTCTGCTCGCCTTGCTCCGTCACAAGCTAGGGACTCGCCGTCAGCCAAGTCAGCTGCCAAGTTTAGCATCATCCACTCTGACTGCCGCAGCTTCCAGTGCTGCTGTGGCATCCAAGCCTCCCAAACAAGTAATACAGGGACTACTGCTGTACCACCGACACCAGACTCAACCGGCTCCCCGACGTCGACGATCACCAGAAAGGTGCAAGGAGCAGCATTGGCGCCGGTCCAATCGCCAACAGCTCCATTCTATTTATCCGACGCACTTGCTCTTTTGTTGATTCAGGCACCGACAACTCCGAAGCCCGCGACAGAAATCCCTGGTAATTTACCTCCAACAGCACGAACACCACTAGGCACGGCTTGTGTGGTCTGAACGCCCCGCCTCATCAGCCCCTCTGACCCCTGGAAACTGAAGGACCGCCGGCGGCCCTCAACACCAAACCTCCTGGTCAAGGCGCACCTTGCCGGGCCTAGCGGATGCATTAACACTCCCAAACGTGCCCCTTCAGCCAATAGAGGATCACGTTCCCTCAGCCCAAAAGGACGCCATCCCCCACGGCATCGCCTACAGCTGCTCCCACCGCCCCCAAGCCTCTCCGAACTGGGGCCACCCGGGATTGCGAGCGCTCCAAGGTGCCCAAAGCGTCTCCTTAGCACCATCTCATCTCGTCTCGTTGACGGCCTGCATCTGACAAGGTGCGGTCGATGTCAGGTTCAGCTCTCCGCGTTCCGGACAAACCTGGTTCAAAATACCCAAATACCCCGTGGCACCCGACATCTCGTTCACTTATCAGACCAAAATCACAACCGGCAATCTGAGGTCGCCTGCATCAGCCATCTGTTGTTCCCGGCATCCTGCATCAACCCTCGCTCCCGAGTACTCGGGACTAACACGCAACCCACCCGCGCCCTCGACCTTTCATCACGGCCGCGACCTCTTTTGGAACGCATTACGAACCAACAGCTTTCAGACGGGCTTGTTCTTCCAAACGCCCATCATTCACAGGGGATCATCTTCTCCATCGCCCGTTTCGGGGTCGACAGCGCCTACCCAGTCAAATTGTCCAGGGGTCCTTCGTCGCCTTCGTAAGCGCCCACCAGTCAGGCGTCGCCTTTGACTCTCGGACATACATCACGGCGCTTCCACGACTGGGTCGCCGAAATCATTGGTCGACCAAGATTCCTGCCATCACAGCCTCTGCATTCCCACACGGCAGCATTATCCTTTTCTCTGCGTCTACTCAAACAGAATGGGACGATTTTCTGCGTTTCAGTGACTACGCTCTTGCCGCATCTGCACCTGTCGCTGGATAGCAAGCGCCTCGGCCCCCCAATAAGACCTTGCTGGCCGCCACCTCTCGACGAGGCCCCCTTTGCCCGCCATGGACCCTACCACGACTCTCTTTACCTTCATGCTGTGAGTCTCGACACTTTGCATTCTTTTTTTTACCTTTCTCTGTCGGTCTCGTGAAGTACTTTGCTGGCACTTTTATTCTTTACATTCGTTGATCGAATACATTCCTTGCACTTACACCAATTCCTGCCTTGTACGTATGGTCCAAGCTTCATTGCCCGAATTGGACGTTGCATCGGGGTGGCCGAACGCGACCGGTCGCCCAATTTTGTTTGGGCTGGCTGGAAAGTGTTGTCAGCTGGACCCTGCGATGATATTGCTTATTTTCAGCCTCATCAGCTGACGTTTGAGACGATGTTCTGCTTCCTGCGGTTGAGTAGCTGTTCGGGAGAGAACTTGCCTGCCACTCACGAGACACGACGCGCTGCTTCATAAGTTCTGGTTCGCTAACCATTACCAGCGAGACGCATCCGACAGTTCAATCAGTTCATCTTTTCGGTTCTTGGGACAACTTCTCGACAGCCTACTTGATGGAGCGTGACATTCGACGAGACCGTGGCCAATGGCGCGGGTGTTACTCTTTCAAGGATATCGTCTGTGACGATGACAACGGCGCCTGCCGGAAACGAAACGGCGGTTTGAAGATGGGCCACAAGTATTACTACTATGTGAGTTGGGTTCGCAAGGAACCAATCTCATCTTTTGGTGCTAATCTATAAATTCATAGTATGAGCTCGATGGTTCGCAGGAAACCCATGACACGACTTTGCCCTCAACCACCAAGTGCCCCTACCTTCCGGGGCAAATGGTCAACACACTCGAGGTTCCTATGGAACAAGTTCTTCGCAAGCGCAGCGCCTCCCTCACGTCTCTCAAGATGACCGACTATAAGACGATGAACCCCCTCGACAAGTTCATCACACCGAAGGCTCCTCCTCCACTGCCCGACAGCATGAGGACGCGCCTAGGCTCGTCGCCTCTCACACCTTCAAGTATCTCATTGCGCTCCATGTCAACGGCTCCCGCATGGCGGCGTTTGTTCGGCCGGCGGTCCTCTAGCCGGACCGGCGAACGTGATCGTCATCGCAACGAGGAGCATTGGTCCATGTCATCAGATGTCTACGTGGATGATGAGAGAAGTCTCCTCTCATCGCAAGGGAGCCGAAGCAGGGACATTTCGCCCGAATCTCTTCAGCGTTTCCTGGCCGACGAAACCGCACCGTCAGTGCCGACTGACGTTATGGAAGAGCGGCCGACTCTGTCGATACCGGAAGACATTGTGGAAGAGAATGAAGACGACCTCAACTTCGCCACATCAGCCGTGTCTGAAAACAACCCCTACGCAACATGCCTATCGCCTCCACCTTTCAAACGATCCCACTCCGACAGCAGCATGCCTACTGTCACGAATGGCAGCCAAATGACGCTGACACAATATGTCCACTCCACATCGGACAAGGTTGATGCTGCGCATGCGCCGTCCCCAACTCGGGACCTCCAGAGCCGTCCCACTCTCGGACTCGACATGTCGGAGTCGCGGTTCTCTATGTCTTCCGCTTCCAGCATTGTCTCCCAAGAGCTACGCTCTCCAGATGATGAGCCGCCCTCATGGTATGACTCCAATGATGACGACGATGAGTTGCTCTCGTCGAATGAAAGCGAGTCCTCCCGTAAGCCTCTGTGCGCGCTGGATTCGACATATACGTCTTTGGACCAGCCGCGAGCCCCTATTGCCAGTTATAGCCTGCCACAGGGACCAGACCATGTCAGCAAGCAGTCTCTGCATGACCAACGCACCATCCACGCCTCTATTGCATCGCCGGCTTTGATTGCAAGGTCTGACCATACGCTACTCGCAAGCCCCAGCGACCACGGCATTGACGACTTTGTCAATGAAATGAACTGGATGGTCGACATTATCCATGGCGGACGTGTCTAGGCTACTCCTACACACTCAGCCATATTTCCTACGTCCTCAATGATACCCCAATTTCCTTTCATGTCCAAGACCTCTCTGAAGAACCAACTCTGGAGGATATAGAAGGTTTTCTCTGTTGTATATATGAGCGTGAGAAAACGCCACAAGTCATGATGACGATCGATACAAGGACGACCAAGATGACTTCGAGGCTAAGCTTTGGGTGAGGTTTCACGCCTGAGGCTGGGAGGAACCACGAGAATCGGTTCTGCGCGACGACTCCGCAAGAAAGATGTACGTATTTGAGGCTGTCTTCCTGTAGAGGTGATCACTTGAATGGCTCCCGGGAGGAGTCTGACCAGGTGGAGGGATAAGATTGGCAATCGCCAGCTAGATACGCACCATATATGAGGAAATGGTCAACCAATGGAAGCCTAAGATTGATGTAAAACGACAAACGTTTATACTGTCCTATGACTGTACGAACCATTTAGTACCCCTTCATGAATCTGCTGGTGATTGATTAAAGGGCAAAGCCCATGTCATTCGTGTCTATCGAGTGGTCATGTTACAGCGATTGCTCAAGGGCCCAACAAAGATGGGCGATGGTATCATACATTCTTTACACTATCCGTACATCGCCGTTCCACTCTACCATTATTCATAATACATGCCCGGCCCTCTCCGCCCTGCCTCGCGCACTCGCGTAGGATGCGTCACACCGCCGCAGGCGCCGGAGCGCCCTGCTCAGCAGGCGGAGGCGCCACAGAGGGCACGGCAGCAGCGGGAGCCGGGGTCTCAGCGGACGGCGCGCTCGGCGCGGACGGGGGCGGCGCCGTCGACGCCGTGCCGGCAGCGAGCTGTTGCGGCTGCTGCTGTGGCCGGGCGGCTGGGACCGGGGCGGGCACGTCGACGTCCATCCCGTCCGTCGTCTGTGGTGCAGCGTTCTCGGCCTCGGCGACAGCGACGACGGCGCCGTCTGGGTGCCTCTCGCCCGTCGTTGCTGGACGGACCTGTTCTGCTGCCTCGCTCTGCTCCTGCTGCTGCTGCTGCTGCTGTCTCTGCCTTTGCTCTGCTTCCTCTGCCTCTCTGAGCTTCTCCTTTTCCTTGGCCTCCGCTTCCTCCATCTGCTGCTGCTGCTTCTTCTTCTTTTCTTCGGCCTCCTTCTCGAGCTCCTTCTCCTTGGCTCGCGCCTCCGGCCCGCCGAGAAACGCGACGGGCACGCCCTTGGCGGCGTAGGTGCAGCTGCCGACCCAGGCGCCGACGAGGGCGCTGAAGCGGTACTCGCCGCGGCGCAGGCGCTGGATCTCGCGGTATGCGTAGGCGTTGAAGTACGGCAGGCCGGTGTACGGGTCGCGGTAGCGGGCCGGGTGGTTCGTGATGGCGCAGAGCGGCGCGGCGGGGGGCTTGGCGAGCTTGGCGAGCTTGCGGTGGGGGCCGAAGAGGACGCGTGACTGGGTGGCCTTGTTGGCGATGAGGGGCTCGGCAAAGTTCTGGAGGATGATGGCGTGGCGGGTCGTCTTCTGGGGGGCTGCTGGCGCTGGTGCTGGCTGTGCCGACGCTCGGGGTGCGTGAGGGTCGGACGGTGTAGGAAGGGTTGACGATGCCGGTGTGGTTTCGTTTGTCTGGGAGGCGGCAGCAGGTTGCTGCGTGGGCACGCCTCCTTTGCCGGGTTGGGGCTCAAGTTGTGTTTGGAGAGGTGGAGGCTGGACGGCAGGTGCCAGTGGTTGCAATGGCTGCAGCTGTGTCTGTGAAGGAGCCGGAGCGGGTTGGATCTGCTGAGGCGGCTTAGACGGGAGCTGTCCCGCTTGAGAGACTGCCGGCATGGAGTTGTGTGACGACTGGCCTGGCGTTGTTGGTGGCAGGGACAGGGGCGATGGCCTTTGTGTTGTGTTTGGCGGAGCGAGCACGTTTGATCTGGGGTTCATACCGGAGCTGCTGAGATGGATGCCACCGAGAGGTGGTGCCAGGACAGGCGGCGCGAGAACGGGGGCCTTGAGACCAGATTGTGGTGGTGCAGGAGGAGTAAGAGGAGAAACTACAGCGGGAGCAGAAAGAGGAGCAGCAGCAGCGGCGGCAGGAGGAGGAGGAGGAGGGGCGGGAAGAGCCAGAGGAGAGGGGCCCTGTGGCGATGGTGAGATGGTCGGAGGGGCCACAGGTCCGGGCTCAGGATCCGTAGGCGGTGCTGCTGGTGCCGGTGCTGGCGGTGCCAGTGCCGCTGGTGCCGGCTCGAGGGTCAGAGATGGTTGTTCAGGCGCAGCTGACGGCGGTGCCGGGCTCGGTGCATCTTCTACTTTGAGTGGAGGCATAGAGCTCTCAGGTAGTTTCGCCAGCCCCGGGTCCACCGCCGAGATGGGCGTGTTTGGCGATGTTGTTGCTGGTGTCGACAGCATCGAGTCGACTCCTGGCTTGGCCTCCGTCCCCGTACCTGTTGCCGGTGCTGTCGCTGGCGTGCCCCCCAGGGCGGGTGTCGCGGCGTCCGTCTCGGGTGCGGCACCTCCCTTCTTGTCAGCCTTGGCCTTGCCCTTCTCCGGCTTCTCCTTTTTCTCTCTCTTCTTCCGAGGCTGCTTCTCCTCCATGGTGACCGTCTTGCCGCCGTTCGCGTCGCCCTCCCACTCGCCCATGCCGCTCCAGAACGTGATGACGGGCCCCTGGAGGGTGCGGTTGTTGAGGGCCGCCAGCTTGGCCGCGCGCTCGGCCTCCCTCGCCTTCTCGGCCTCCTCCCAGCGGTTCAGGCTCTTTGCGTTTCTCTTCTCGACGAGGGCCGCCTCGGCGAGGCGCTCCGCCTGGGTCATGGGGGGTTTCTTCAGCGCCGCGAGCCTCTTGGCCTTCTTCTCCATGGCGGCCACCTGCTTCAGCCGCTTCGCCTCCCTCTCGACCATCTGGTTGTGCAGCTGCTCCTTGCTGAGCACCGTCGTCTGCCGCGCCGACGCGCGCGTCGGCATGTCCGTCATAGTGGGCAGCCAGCTCGTGCGCTCCGACTTTTTCTTGGGCCGCGGAGCCGCCACCGCCGGGCTCGCCGAGGCGCCCGCCGTCGTCGTCGTCGAGTCCACGGCAGGCGGCCTGTCGCTGCGGATGCGGACCTTTTTGCGAAACTTGGCGGGTATGGCGTCGTTGGCCTTGCGCTTCCGCCGCTGGGCGGCGCGGTGCTCCTTGGCCTGCCTCTCGAGCTCCTGCTCGCCGGCGAGGTCTTGGTCGGCGGCGGCGGCGCCGTTTGGCGGTGCGTCGTCCTCCGAGTCGGACGACGAGTCCATGTGCACGTCGGACCCGCCGTCCTCGACGTCGGTGAAGCCGGCGTCGTCGTCGTCCTCGGCGAAGAGCAGCTCGAGATCCGAGTCCGGGTCTTCGTGGGCCAGCATCGACTTCATCCGGTTGCCGGCCGTCGAGCGCTTGGCGCGGCCTGTGGCGAGCCACTCGACGGGCGTGGCGGCCGTCGAGGTCGTCGGCGTGGCCTCGTCGCTGGCGCTCGTCGCGTCGGAGCCCGAGTCGGAGTCGTAGTCGACCATGGGGGCGCGAGGGGCGGCTGTCTTGGGAGCGTCCATGGTGCTGGGACCCCGAGGGAGGGGGTCGGTTGGTTCTTCTTGGTGAGGAAGGGGGCGATGGGTTTATCGGTACATGTCTGTTGTGAGGTGTGTAGCGAGCGAGGGCGGCTCGCCGGGATGTCTTTCAAGGCGTCGTCGTAGTATTCGGGGATGATCGAAAGGGTTGGGCGTGTGGTGTTGAGGAGTGGGAAAGGGTTTGGTTCGGTTGGTGGGGAGCTGCGTATGTGTGTGTGTGTGTGTGTGTGGAAGGGAAGGAAGGTGGAAAGAGGTTGCACGCGTCGGCGCTCCCTCCAAAGCTTGCTCGGGCAGTTTTCAGGCGCCCTACGTAACCCCCCCCCCCCTGAACGTGCACATCTGCATACAGCCCATCCCTGCTTCTCAGAGCCAGAGGGGGCACCAGACTCATCTACAGCTTCGACAACATGCTTTCCACTGCACAGAGGTTTTGGTAGTTGCTATGTTGCCAATTTCCTCTATGGGTACTACTAGCCCATGACGTTTCTGACCAGATCGGACCACACTTCAACGTCAAATTTCAACAACTTCGATGACCGTCTGGAATGCACATGTTCTGTCCTTGTCATGGCCTCAGCCTAACGACCTATCTACGCCAAAAAACCCCAAAAAGAAAGAAAAAACCAAACCCAACGCCCCTTGCCCACTGGAAAATGCTCATGTGCGAAAGCAATATCGCCCTGCTAGTCCCGTCTCAAATCTCCTCCGGCCTCCAGCCGTCCTCGTCGTCCCACTCCCTGCACCAGCCGAACCAGTGTCGCCGCTTGCACGTCGGCTCCAACGAGGGCTCCTCGGTCGGGTCAGCAGTGGGTGTCGGCGCCGGCGTCACCTCTGGGCTTGTCGCCGGCTTCGTCGTCGACACCTCGTCGCGGCAGCCCCAGAACCGGCCGGGCAGGATGCACGTCGTCGTCGTCGTCGTCGTCGTCGAGGCCGAGGTCGGCGCCGGGCTCGAGGGTGTGGGCCCCGCCGTCGCCTCGCTCGTTGTCGTCTCGTCGTTGCAGCCAAACCACCCCGGCGTCTTGCACGTGGATGTGGATGTGGACGTGGTCGTCGTGGTCGTCGATGGCATGGTGCCGCTGACGGTGGTCGACTCGTCGAGGCACCCCCACCAGCCCGGCGACTTGCACGTCTCGGTACGCGTGCGCACCACAGACGTCGTCGACGACACGGGTCTCGAGCTCGTCTCGGTGCCGTTGCTCTCGTAAAAGTTCCACTTGGCGCAGTCGCGGCAATCCGGCGTCGACGCACAAGAGGGCACCTCGTCGTACTTCAAGAGGACATCGTTGATGACAGATCGTATCCTGTGCGTCCCGATGCCGACGCGCCAGCCCTTATCGGCAACGACGTCGTAGACACACCGCTGGCCCGTGTGGCACTCCGACTCCATGGCGTAGCCCGCAAACGAGCAGGACGCCGTGGGCCCGTGGCACATGGCCATGTACACGGGATCCGCCGTGTGCCCGACGTGAAAGGCCCCCGTGTTCTCGCGCGCCTGGTGTATGGTCTGCTCCGAACCAGGGGGCACCGGCAGTCCGAGGCGGCCTGCCGCCAGCGCCTCGGGCACGGCCTCAAAGGTGACGACGGGCAGCCCGTAGGTCAGACCAAGGAGCGAGCTCACAGCGCCGCCGAGGGAGTGGCCGGCCAGCCAAATGTCGGCGTGGGGGTACAGCTCGGTCACATTGGCGTACAGCTCGCGTGCCGCAGCGTAGTACCGGTGCTCGTCCGTGATGGCCTCGACGACGCACGTGTTGTTGCAGCTGTAGACCGGTGTGGCGCAATCGCACACGCGGAGCCACGTCCACTGGCCCAGCTGCCCGCAGCAGCAGCTGAAGAAGAGGTTGTCGTTGATCTTGTCGTGGGTCGTGGTGCCGTCGCCGTCGAACACGGCCATGGAGGTGCCCTTGAGGCCGATGACGACGGTCGCGTTGTTCTCGTCGGCGAAAATGTGGCCGCGGAGACCATCCCCCTGCCAGCCAAAGTCGGCGCTCCGGTTGAACGGCGCCCCGACGTCCTCCCAGTCGGGGTGCTCCTCGTCCTCGACGTAGGCGTTGGCCGTCATGCGCGCCAGCGTCAAGATGGTCTCCTTGTCTGACACGTCCGGTCCGGGGGTGTCGTCGAGGGTCCATGCCGTCGGGCTCAGCATGTTGACGTAGCCCCTCTCGCGCGCGGCGGCCACCATGGGGTCGACGACGTGAGGGCGGCGGTCGACCAAGCGTTCTATCGTGACGGCTTTGCTTCGCGCCTTCAGCGGACCCATGACCTCCCTGGCGTATTCGTCCTCGGCGGCGAGCCAGACGTTGGGCGCGGCACTGGCGCTGGTCATGATGTCGCGCTTCCGGTGGAGGCGGGGATGTTGATGTGTTCCATGGTGGAAGATGTGTCGCAGGGAAAAGGAGTGCTCGGCAGGTAATGGCGGTTGCGTGTTGGGCGGTGATGGGAGGACGGGGCCGGGGAGCGCTATGGCTTCGTCGATGGGAGGTGCTGTGCCAGAGACGGCGGTTATCGGCGCGGCGGCTGTGGCGAGCAGCGACAGGAGGCCGAGCTTCCTCCTCCGCCACTTCATGTTGCAGCTTCTGGGGGGGGGGGGGTGGGGGGGTTGGAGGGTTCGAAAGCAACAAGCCAAGGGTGTTGAGGTACGTGAGGTCGAGATGCAATGAGGGAGGCAGCAGATGATGCGTTGAAGAAACGGAGCAAATCGACGGTGGGTGGAAGAAGGCAAACGGCGATAGGTTAGGTATGTACCTGTGTAGGTAAATAGTGTTGAGAGTCACTGACGAAGGCACGGCCTTGCGTCAGTCAGGTGGATGGCTTGTTGACGTCGTCTCCCTGGTGTCTTTGGTCATGCGGGGGGGCTCACGGGCCACCGATAAGCAATCGGAGACCGGCGCTGGAGCGAGGCGGGAGAGGAGAGGCTCCAGGTCCAGGCACCAGCCGGCATGGTGGGCCTGCGTGCTGCCAGCTGCCACGGGCCGGCCTATCTGTGAGGTACATGGACCTGCCTAGGTAGGTAGGTACCTTGACGAGGGGCTTGATACCTTGAGGAGGGACCGGACCTACCTACCTTGGGTCCCTCGGCGTACCTATCTTAGGTCCTTCGCTCAGCAAGGGAGATCCTGCATCGTGGCTCTGGCCAACGAGGGATGAGGCAAGGCCGGTTCGCAAGAGTCTACGCGTATGCTGAGTTCAATAGACAACAGATGCACACATCTCATACCAGCCCTCGAACATGTGAACCCTTGTCGAAGCCTCCGCTGCATGAGGAAAGGCGATCTCCCATGCATGAGTCTCAGTCACCTGCCCAGGTACCCCTTCTGCAGCGGGCACGGTACCTTGCTGTCCGCCGCAGAGTGCAGCCGGCGCAGGCACACCTACGTACCTGGCTGCTGAAAAGGTACCTGGACCCCCCAAGAGCGTGCTGGTAACAGGACGCTACGACAGGACGCTACAACAGGACGCTACGACAGGACGCTGCAACAGGACGCTACAGGACCGGATCGGCCACTTGGCTGCAATTCGATGCATCCACCAGATCCACGCAACAACCTTCGTCATCTGCCCGCTGTCACGGACTCGACTGCACTGGACACACAGTATCGATCGACTGCTTCCGTGGACTCCGTGAGCCCGCAACCCTTCGCCTGCCGCATCTCCTGCCTACCTGCTGCTACCTAGGCTGCCACTCGTTTCTCGATCCTGTCCTCGCCGCTCTTCTCCCTCTGGCGCAACGACGCAACTGGAAAATACCCATGCGCGTCTCCCATCTACAAATGGCGTAACACACTGGTGGATCTGGCATCCTCACATCCCGTCACAGTCCCCTTCTACGCGACCCCAACCAGCCGAGAGGTAGTTCTCTGCTTTGGCTCTCTGCTCTCTGCTCTCTGCTCTCTTCTCCTTGCGTTTCATCCCTGTCGAACCTACGCTGCTGGATAGATAAAAGTAGAGCGCCCCCCCCCTGCTGCCCTGCTGCCCTCGTCTCGTCCTCCTGTCTGTCTTCCCACGAGAGGCGGGCATCATCATGTCGACACGTGCTGGGCTGATCTCCTTGACTTCTAGCACGACACCGATCAACATGGCGGCCAACGAACCTCCCAAGAGCTCTGTCGGCTCTCGACCGAGCCTATTTCGAGCGACGTCTTCAACGCAAGGCGCCGGTGCTGCGAGCAATGACCCTCTTCAGCCCCCGAGACGAGCCCAGACTTTCCACAACGGCGCTGCCGTCGTCGCGCCCCTGAGCAAGGCCCCCCCGCCTGCGGAAATCGAACGACCCGATGCATTTGAAACCGGCCAGGACGCTGATGAAGACGAGGACGATGGAATCGATCCAGGAAGGGGATCCGTGGACCTCGACGATCTACCCATCGAGCTCGTAAGCTTGACTGACAGGTAATCGACATGGTACGACATGCTCTTCTGTTCACGAGCTAACCCGTTCGTCTTCAGCTTTGTCGATGCCCTCACGTCCAAAGTCCACAAGACACCACCCAGCATCGACAATGTCGCCCAGCTCTTTCAAGACTTCTACCTCAGCGCCTCGAGCCACGTCAACACGCACATCTCCGCTCTGGCCACGCGTCAAAGTCGGGCCAACTCCCCCGCACCACCGTCCAAACTCACCCCGGCGGGCCGACTGAGAGCCAAGGCTGCGTCGATCGGAAGCAAGGACAAGCCCCAGAACATACCGAAGCCTGACACGGAACGCCAGATGATCACGGCCGAAGAGTTGGCGGAGAAGAAGAAGGCTCGCAAAGCGCTGGAGGCCAAGAGAGCCATGCTGGAAGAGGCTGTGGAGAGAAGGTTGTGCGAAGGCCTCTACAATCGCATCTACCGCCACCGAAGCACGCAAGACCAGGCGCAGGACGACAAACTCCGGTCCAAGACGGCAGCCCTCGCGCTCGTCGGTATTGGCCCTGCAGACCTGGGCATCGACCTCGGAGAGGACACGACAGCAACACCGGCCGCGGCCGTGCAGAGGGCTGACGAGATCAGGGGCTGGCTGGAGCAAGCCCGGACAGATCTCATCCGCATGCACGAGAAGCGCTACCCGCTCGGCAAGCTCAACCACTTGAAAGCCGCTCACAAGAGCATCGTCGACACGTTGGCGCATTTCCATCCGTCAGCATCGGCCGACGAGATCATGCCCATGCTCATCTTCACCCTCATCACGCTGCCTCCCGAACATCTGAATGTCATTAGCGACGTCAATTTCATTCAGAACTTCCGATGGGAACCCAAACTGACGGGCGAAGCCGCATACTGCCTGACCAACCTCGAGGCGGCCATCAGCTTCCTCGAGACGGTCGACTTGTCCACCCTGCGCGCCGACGAACTGCCCCAGGGACCGCCCAAGGATGGCATGCCAGGCATCTCCAGGGCAGATACCTTCCCGCCCGCCTTTCCGCCAGGCCTGACGATCACCGCGGATGGCGCTGCCGAGGGGACTGTCGAGACGGATACGAGCAACGCCGCCGCGCTCAGGCCACCTCCCTCCCCTCCTGCGTCATCCGGACTCCGCGCAGTCGTTCAGGCGCGGAACAGGCGACTTAGTGAGCTCGTCAACACGCCTGCTCAGGCTTTCGGTGCAGCCAGTGATGCCGTCTTCAAAAGCGCCGACCAGGGGCTGAACAACATTACCAACAGTCTGGGCGACAGCTACAAGTTTCTTCTTGGTAAGCTGCGCGAGACCCAGGGGGCGCCCACGGCAACAGGCGAGGCACTCGTGGTCCCGAGAACACTCGACGACGCCCGCAAGCTCGTCAGCACGCCGCCGCCCGACGAAGACGGCTCGGTGAGCGGTGCCAGCTCCGTCCACGGCGCTGACGAGCGCGAAACCGCCCACAAGCCACCCCCCTCCGACGACAAGGTGATGAGCCTGATCGGGGGCAAAAAGGCCGCCGCGCGGGACCACAGCGCCGACAGCTCGCGCAGTGCCAGCAGCTCCAAGAAGGTGCTCTTCGCGCAAGAGAAGCACGCAGCCGCTCCGTCACCCTTGCCGACGTCGTCTGCGAACCCACTTGAAAACGCCGTCCGCAACTTTGGCAATTCGTTCAACCCGATGGCCAAGCTCTCGAGCATGGGCGTCATGCGCGGATTCGGCCGCGTCGCGTCGTCGCCCGTAGCGCCTACGTTGAAGGACCCGCAGACCAAGCCTGCCGAGGGCGGCGACCTCAGTGCCGTACGTTTTTTCAGACTCTGACGAGACCACATGTCCTATCCGTAGCTGACCTTTTTCCTCCCAGGCCTTCCCCGACATTGCGCCTGCTCTCCCGCCCAAGCAGGTGTCCAAGGTGAAGCCGCCCAACAAACGCTTCATGGAGCTGCAGAATCCGGGCGACCTCAAGCTCGGCGAGGTCCTGGAGCTCCTTCGCGACTACAGGCGGCTCGCGGACGCGCTGAAAGAGCGCGACGCGTTCGACGGCGCAAAGTAGACGCGTGCGACCATGTAGGTATGTGTGTTTGCCCCCCGGGGGGGGGGGGGGGGGCGGTCCATGTATAGTGACTCTATTCTGGCTAGAAGGTGTTCCGGCGTTTGTAGCCTCTGTTTTATCATCTTGGGGGCGCAGACGAGTCTGGGTTTGCGTTGCAGGTTCATCAGCCGAAACATCCAGGCGGCGCCCATGGCTGTCGTTCGCACATCATCATCACAATACACGTCTTCGAGCACAAGTCTTCGAGAACATGCCGCGTCCTGATCTGGGGTAGTATTGTAAACTTGTTTGTAGTCCAATTCAGGCGCTCCCACACAGCGGGAGGCAGACCATCCCCACGTCTCTCCGACAGAGGGAGAGAGAGAGAGTTGGTCTGTTGCAGTGTTACTTTCTAGTATATCTCATCTTCCAGTCGCAGTCGGAAAGAAGTGGTTTACGTCTCTCTTTCGTTTGGGAAGAAGCGTCCCGTCCTTGTCACCCACAACCCTGTCCCACTTTCGCCCGGCCACCCGGCAGCCGGCGAAGCGCCTCTCCTCCTTGCCTCTGCATACCCAGTCTTGGCCCCGACCCTGTTTGCGCAACCCCGAACACCCAGCCATGCTTGCCTTTGTGACGACGAAGGAGAGAAGAAGAATAAAAAAGAATAAAGATAAACAAGGAATGGTATACCAGAGTAGAGTATGGATAAAAACGGGCGTGCGTGGGGTGCTTGAAAGAGAAAAGAAACGAAAAAGGCAGAAGAAGTGGCGGGCGGCTCCAGGGGAAACACGATTGTGGCGATGCAACGACAGAAAGAGTCTCCTCAGTGGTAGCCGTTGACCTTGTCCTGCCTCAGGTTGCTGTCCCGGTTCGTACGCTCCTTCAGCACCCCCGACGGCACATCATCGTCATCATAGTCGCCGCCGGCGCTGCTGGCGTCGCAGCTGCCGCCCGCCGTGCCGCTGATGAGCTTGTCCATGAAGGCAATGTAGTCGTACTGCGGCATGCCGCGGTCGTCGAGCATGTCCGGGCCCGAGTGGAGGGGGATGAGGTCGACGAGCTTGTCGATGACTTCGTCGGGGACGAGCGAGTGGCGGAGGTCCATCTCGGTGACGTAGGGCTTGCCGTCGGCGACCTCGCGGAACGACTGGAAGACCTGCTCGGCCGTGTTTTGGTCCTCTGTGACGTTGACCATGAAGCGAATAAACTGCTCAAAGGTAACGCGGTCGCGGCCGTGCGACGTATCGAGGAAGTACTCGTGCATCTCGTCCTCGGAGAAGACGAGGCCGAGCGAGGCGAGGGCGGCGGAGAACTCGAGCTCTTGCAGTGCATTCGAGTCGTCGCGGTCAAAGTGGCGGAACACAGACTCAAACTCCTCCAGCTGAATGGGCGTCAGGTTCGTCATGTTACGAGCGACCATCTGGTTCTCCAGGAAGGACAGCTTCTTCTGCACGGAGGACTTGACGAGGCCGAGCTCGTACGCGAGCTCGTCGTAGGCGTATGTCGTAAAGTCGTTCTCCTCAATGTTGGCTTCTTGGCATTTGGCATCCACCGCGGCAATGGTGTCGAGGTAGCGGTCCATGGGAGACAGGTTCTCGCTGAGCTTGCGAACGTGATGCAGTTGGTCCTCGACGTCGCCGTCCAAACCTGAGATGGCGAGCTGCATCGTGTTGAGCGCCATGGCAAAGTCATTGGCCTTGTCAGCGAATGACTTTCGCAGCGCGTTCTTGATGCTGTTGGGTGGATTAGCTCGAGTTGGCGTTTTCCACAGGGCGGGCAGGGAATGAACGACTTACTCTCGGATTGTCTCGTTGATGAGCTGCGCCCTCGTCATCTCCGTCTTGGACAGGTTGGCCCACTCCCGCTCCATCGTGTCCAGCGACAGCTCCACTGGCGGGTCGTATGGCCGAAGCCGGTATGTGCCCAACTTTGTCTTGATATTGCCGAGCAAAGTTGCCAGTTCGCTCTTCTCACCCACCCACTCCCTCTTCTGGCCCCTTTTGTACGCTGTAAACTCCATCGCCTGCGCCTTGGCGTCCACATATGTGCCCTCGAACTTGGCCTGCTGCCACTGCTCGATCTGCCCTTGAATCTGTTTCAGCAGCGCCGCCATGCGCCTCTCATACGCACTCTGCATCTCCCAGGCCCCCGACATGTTGGTGAAGAACTTTTCCACTCTTCGGCCCGCGTTCTCGACCTTCTCCATCTGAGAAAAGGCGTGAAACCAGTAGGCAATGTACGTCATCAGGGACCTCTCATCCGGCTTGGCCACGTCGCACACATCCTCCACGTCGAGCAGCTTGGGGATGCCGATCTCCTGGTGAGCAATATCAAACGCCATTTGCATGTTCCCGCGGTGGTCCGACTTGTCGAGGGCATCGTAGTCGATGAGATCCGGCCGGTGAATGTCGAGCAGCGCGCAGAACGCGAGGCCGTCGTTCCAGCTGGCGCTGAAGTCACGGACCTCGACCTCGTCGTAGCATGCCGTCTTGCGCTGGCACCACAGGAGCAGGCCCTCCTTTGCCGTCATGCCCTCTTCGTTGATGTCGCTGATGGTGAAGCGTAGAATGAGGGTCCAGATGAGACCGAGAATGATCTTGCGGTTCCCGTCGACGACGTCCTCGGCACCAATGTTGGTCATCTGGATGCCCCTCGACTTGATAAAGTCGAGGGCTGTGTTGGCGTTCTCGAAGCGCTGCACGCGCAGCTTTGGCTTCGCCGCATAGCGGCCTAGTGATTCTTGTGATAGGCATTCTAGTAGGTGAATGAGGATGACCTAGAAAAGAGGGAGGAATATCTGTCAGCGGGGTTCGAAAGGGGTGCGGGGGGTTCAGGGGCTCGGTCCATACACCATCACTGAGGTCCGCCACGAGGTCTTTGACCTCGAGATCCCGTGCCACAATCTTTGTGTTGAGCCACTTGGTAAAGGTCTTTTGCTGGACCGTCACCCATTTCTGCTGCTCGGCGAAGGCCATCTTCGTCAGGCCCTGGTCATGCGGCGGCTCGATGGCGGCGAGGGCGGCGGCGGGATTCGAGGAGGTGGAGGAGCGGAAGCGCTGCTTTTTGGAGGCCCCGGCTGCCTGTGTCTCCTGTCTGCTGATGGCAAGGGGTAGAGTGCCAGTGGCCGACCCAGCGCGCTCGAGTCGGGCGGCGTGCAGCTCCTTCTTGTCGCGGCGGCTCCTGATGGGTGAGGGGGAGCTGCCGCCCGAGTTTGTGCGGATGCGGGATGTGGTGGGCGAGCCGTAGTCTGTGGCAGAATACTCGGTGCAGGCGGGGCTTGTCGGCCGTGTGGATGCAGGTGAGGATGCTGTGGGCGTGTTACTGCTGATATCGGCAGAGTCGTTGGATGTGGTTGAGTGCGAGTTGGAGAGACGGTAATGTTGGTTGGTGTCGGCGTTGGTCTGGATGTGGCTGCCGTGGGCGTGTGCGTGTGCATGTGCGTGTAAACAGAAATCGGGGAATTCCTCGTTGCCGGGCAGAGCATGCGCTGGCGTCCCCTGAAGAAGATCCCCGCTCGCTGCCATTTTGGGCGGGCTCTAGTAGCTCGCTAGGCTGTTTTTAGTGGTCGCCTGCCCGCTTCGGCTGCTGTGCGGCGCCCGAGGGCGGTTGACGGGGGGTGACGGGGGTGACGGGGGTGACGGGGCTCTCTTATCGGGGCGTCTTGCGTGGCTCGATAGTGCTGACGGCCAATTGCCGGTGCCCGAAGCGTCGAGGTGGAGACCAGGGTAACAGTGCCTGTGAGGTAATCCGTAATTCGTAATCCGATATGGCTGTCGTGAGGCAGGCTGTTCTCCAACGGTGCCTGGCTCTTCTTTACAACGCTCAACGCTGAGTCAAGAAACGAGTGAATGGAAGGAGAACAGGCCAAAACGAAAGCGAGTCTATTCGAGGTCTTCATCCCTTTTACATGTACAATGCCAACTGGCATGAGTGACCTCCTCAACTACAGACGGACCAATGTCGCGGGCCAGCACTGCAATTATCAGACGCCTTAGGACCAAGACGGAAAGGCGCATATCGGCCCCATCGCCCAAGAGCTTCATCTGAAACGACACCCTTCCCGCGCATCCTTCCCCATTCTGCGATGAGCATCGACGTTCTTGGTCCCATCACTCTACATCCAGGGATGTACTCCTGCACCCCGCGAATCAGCGGCGATCATGGCCATCCCATCCATTAACCCCGGACACGATACTTTCCCCCAACGGCCTCGACTATCATGCGAGCCATCGTCCGCCATGGGTGATCTTTAAGCAAGCCAGGATCCATCAAGTTGCCTGATGCCGGTCCATCCAATACCTCGAGCGCGCCTACGTTGCAGAATCACCGTTGGGACACGCGGTGGGAAAAGGGGGAGGCGGAGCCGCTGGTCCGCACCTCGCCATCATGCCCTTTTCTTCCACGACCCATCTCCAAGAGGGGCACTATCACCGTGGCATCGTGTGGTCATGCCGAGCCTCTCTTCTCTGAAGCGAGACCTTCCGCCCCTCGGATTGCTCAGTTATGGTGTCGTCCTGCACGGTGGCCTACATGTACCAGGAGGACATGCAGCTGGTCACGTGTTGGACAAGGTTCATATGGAGACGCATCTGCCTACGGCGCAGTTTCATGGTGTAAATCCTTCAGGCAGCCAAGTCTGACACGCCCCGACTCGGATTTTTCCTTTCTGGCCAGGGAACTTCAACCTCGACAAAGTCTCGTACGATCAGTTCTTCTGGCAACCAAATGACGGGCGGGGTAGAAAAGCGGCGCAAACCGGCCAACAGAACCGCTGGGCCTGTGAGCAAATCCACCGCATCTCGCACAAAAGCGAAGGCTCCTCCCGTCGTCGACAAGGCCGCGACTCGTTAGTATACTGCTGCCCGAGTCAGGGTCTTATATGTGTATCACTTCAAGATAGTTATGGCTTGCTGATTGCTCAAGGGTATTAGACCCTCCAAAGAAGAAGGCTGGTGGGATCGGATGATGTGCACGAGGGTGACGCGGCCGTCCCATCCACGAAGCGTGGGCGCGCTGATGACGATCGTGAACAACGAGCCGTGAAGAAGCCCAAGACAGACGGCAAACACCTTCAGTCATCGACGAAGACGTTTGGCGCCCTGAATCAGGCCCCGACCGAAATTTGCACGGTGCTCATCTTCGGAAATGGCGACAATGGAGAGCTTGGTCTTGGTCCCAACAAGACAGAGTCTCTACGTCCTCGCGAAAACCCCTTTCTAAACCCAGTCGACTCCTCCAAGTTTCATGTTGTTCAAATCGCCTGTGGCGGCATGCATACGGTCGCTTTGACGGCCGACAACAAGATCATCACTTGGGGGGTCAATGATAATTGTGCATTGGGCAGAGACACGACCTGGGATGAAAAGCTGCGCGACATGGACGCGGAATCTGGTGAAGAGGAGGAGGGAGGATTGAACCCCCTCGAGTCGACGCCTACGCAGGTTGCGTCCCGACATCTCCCGGCAGACACAGTTTTTGTGCAAGTTGCTGCCGGCGATAGCTGCAGCTTTGCTCTCACGGAGACCGGGCTTGTCTACGGATGGGGCACGTTTCGGGTGAGTCTCTAGCGACGTTTGCATGGAATCATTTGACTAACATGTTCCATAGGACTCCAAAGGCGATGAACGCTTCGGCTACGAAGCGGATGGAAAAATGATCACGAAGCAAGACAAGCCCGCGCTCATTCGAGGCGTGCAGAACATAACACAGCTCGCATGCGGTGTTGACCACGTTCTGGCACTCGACGCCAGTGGCAACATTTGGGGCTGGGGAAACAACGAGCAGAACCAGTTGGGACGTCGCCTTTTCGGCCGCGACCAGGACAGCCTCATCCCTCACCAGATCCGCGTGTGCCGCAACAATGCGAAATACATTGCCTCCGGTGAATACCACTCCTTCGCCATCGACAAGAAGGATAACGTCTGGAGCTGGGGCCTCAACAGCTTCGGCGAAGCGGGGGACCCCGACACAGCAGGCACCAACTCGGCCGTCCTACCGTATCCGATGAAGATTCGGACACTCGCTGGAAAGGGAATCACCTGCATCGATGGCGGCGCTCACCATTCCGCTGCGGTTACGCCGAGCGGCGAGTGCTTCGTGTGGGGCCGGATGGACGGTGGTCAGCTCGGCTTCACATTCACGCCTGAACAGCTGCAGGACGCGGCCCAGGTGCGTTTCGATGAACGGAACAAGCCGGCCATCTGCCTTCGGCCTGCAGCAGTACCGCATGTGGGATTGGTATCGCATGTTGCCTGTGGAACAGACCACACAATATTCATCACAAGGGATGGGGATGCCTACGCCACGGGGTTTGGTTCACAAGGCCAGCTCGGCCTGAACTCCGAGGAGGATGTCGAGGTCGCACAACGTGTCAAGGGACGGGATGCGGACGAGGCGGTGTTGACATGGGCTGGTGCTGGTGGACAGTTCTCTATTGTCAGTGCACCTGCCACATTGGGCTGAAGGCGTAGGACTTGGGTAGGATTCTACACCATTTGGATGATGGTCGTTGAACGGCTGGATGTGAGCTTCGTTCCTCGGCAGCTCCACGCCCGTCCTCGGATCTGTCAATTCGAGAGAGCGAATAGGTCTGCCAAGGTTGTCGCACATGAAATTTCAAATACACCATGACTGTATCAATCGCAACGAGGTCAACTGATGTCACAGGGAGCTAAGAATCTTTGGAGTTCTGTGACGATTGATCCTCTTGAGCGCACACCGATTGTACCGAACTCACCGAATCGGTGACTAACTTCTGGACCCACCCACGTCAACGGCCCGCCGGATTCTCTGCCCCGGCACATCCCAGCCACTTGGAACAGATCCGACATCGCTTAGGTCGTCTCATCGTCAAAATCTTGCCTTCCTTTGCGACATCAAAACACCACTCACCTCGACGGCGAGCGAACGAGAGTCTCAGCGACCTGAAAACGGATGCACACCGCAATGGCGTCCCGCTCATCTAGATTGCTGCCGGCCCTGAGGACGACTCGGCGGCAGGCTCTGCTCAACACAACGCGCTGCGCCGCTCAGCTTCCTGTCACGGCGGCTCCACTACGATGCCTCAGCACAACCGTCTCACGGTCGGCTGCGGAGAAGGCCTCGGGTCTCAAGCAGATCAAGCTGACGTCCGACTCGTATCCTGATGTGAAGCGCGACGCGAGGTTCGGCCTGGTCACGCCGGAGCATGTCACATTTTTCAAGGACCTGCTGGGTCCCTCTGGTGTCATTGATGGCGTGACGGCTGATGCGACGGAAGACCTCCAAGCTTTCAACGAGGACTGGATGCGCAAGTACCGCGGCCAGAGCAAGCTCCTGCTCAGGCCTGCCTCGACGGAGGAGGTCAGCAAGGTCCTCAAGTACTGCAACGACCACAAGCTCGCCGTCGTGCCCCAGGGCGGCAACACGGGCCTCGTAGGCGGCTCGGTCCCCATCTTCGACGAGATCATCATCAACATGAGCCGCATGAACAGGATTCAGTCATTCGACGACGTCAGCGGCACGCTCGTCGTCGACGCCGGCGTCATTCTCGAGACGGCCGACCAGTTCCTCGCCGAGAAGGGCTACATCTTCCCCCTCGACCTCGGCGCCAAGGGCTCGTGCCACGTCGGCGGCAACGTGGCCACCAACGCCGGCGGCCTGCGCCTGCTGCGCTACGGCAGCCTGCACGGCAACGTCCTCGGCCTCGAGGCCGTGCTGCCCGACGGCACCGTCGTCGAGGACCTCTGCACGCTGCGCAAGAACAACACGGGCTACGACCTCAAGCAGCTCTTCATCGGCGGCGAGGGCACCGTCGGCATCATCACCAAGGTGTCCGTCATCTGCCCGCAGCGCTCGAGCGCCGTCAACGTCGCCTTCTTCGGCCTCGAGTCGTTCGACAAGGTGCAGCAGGCGTTCAAGGCGGCCAAGGGCCAGCTGTCGGAGATCCTGTCGGCCTTTGAGCTCATGGACGCCGGCAGCCAGCAGCTCGTGCACCAGGTGCGGCGCGACGCGAAGCGGCCCCTCGAGGACGAGCACCCGTTCTACTGCCTCGTCGAGACGAGCGGGTCCAACGGCGACCACGACTACGAGAAGCTGGAGAAGTTCCTCGAGGACGTCATGTCGAACGAGGTCGTGTCGGACGGCGTGCTCGCGCAGGACGAGACCCAGGCCAAGGCCCTCTGGAGCTGGCGTGAGGGCATCCCCGAGTGCCTCGGCCACTGGGGCGGCACGTACAAGTACGACGTGTCCATCCCCATTGCCGACATGTACAAGCTCGTCGAGGACACGAACGAGCGGATGCGGGCGGCGGGCCTCGTCGGCGACACGGACGCGTTCCCCGTCGTCGGCGTCGTCGGCTACGGCCACATGGGCGACTCGAACCTGCACCTCAACGCCGCCGTGCGGCGGTACGATCCGCGCGTCGAGGAGGTGCTCGAGCCGTTCGTCTACGAGTGGATCCAGAAGCGCAACGGCAGCATCAGCGCCGAGCACGGCCTGGGCGTGGCCAAGAAGAAGTTCATCGGCTACAGCCGATCCGACAGCATGATCGGCCTCATGAAGGGCATCAAGAACCTCTATGATCCGGTGAGTCTATACGCGTCTGTACGAAAGGACAGGAGACGAGCCTTGCCTCTTTCTCTCTCTCTCTCTCTCTCTCGTCCCCGACCCTTGACGAGTGGGCTTTTGCTAATCGTGTCATCAGAATGGCATCATGAACCCGTACAAATACATCTGATACCCCCTTTCCCTTTCCACAGGCGTCCCTCTCCATGGGCGTCCCTGTCCATTGCCCTCCCTTTTACTTGGCACCTCAAAACGTACAGATTGGCTGGAATAGGCAAGGGGGCGAGCCTCGAATGGGAAAAGACGCAAAATGCACTCTCGCTTCGACTGCACTGTACGATTACTCGGGCCGGATGGTGACTGCGTGGTAGATATCGGATAGCATCGAGATGCAGCCCACCCCAAGTGGTCAGCCTGGAAATGACTGTACTACCTGTACCTTCTCAATCGGGAAACAAGTTTCGAGGGTTCGGTAATAGACAACTCACAGCCCATGGCGGGGGCCTTTTTATTGTCAAAAAAAGAAAATGGAACCAGGTATTGGGGCTCTGGGCACTGCCTCCCCCCCTTCTCCCCTTATTTCATGGCTTTCCACTGGTGCATCACCTTGATGATCTTCGCCACATCTCTTGTGCTGCAGCCCCGTTGCTGTGCTCTTCTTTCGCCCCCCTCCCCGAACGTGCCTTGTGTGGGTGCGCTCGCGCCGTTTAAGTGCCCGCAATCCGTGATGGAAAAGTGGCTGCCTGTGGCCGTGTCTGCCGATCCCGCAAGCCTGCTTTGTACCACCCAGCGTGGCGGAACCATCATGCGAGAGGCGACTGTCGGATGGTGCTTGGTGAAGAAGTGATGGGGGGGGGTGAGCTGACATGGAGGTTGGCAGCACACCCTGCATAGACGACCTCGGCTGCTGGAGAGGAGAGATTAATATTGGGGGTCCAGAGATGCAATCCTTTCAGCACCTTAACTAGACCGCTGGGCAAACTCGTCGTGCAGACTCGTCTTGGCAATCACACTGCATCGAACCATCGACAGGAGCGAAGGATTGTCGACTGCCGGGTCGGTTATGATGGTTTCGATGGTCACCTCGAGTGTAAGGTGTATTTCGTGCGCGCGCGCGCGCAAATCAAAAGCAGTTGAGAGTCAGCCTTGACGGATTCTTTGAGCCGCGTTTCGGGATCCATCGAGACTCCTTCGCAATACGCGGAATGATACCCCAAGGAAGATGGAGAAGAGGCAACGTCAAGCCAGACCCAGAAAAAAACAAAACAGTGAGAAGCGGCCTTGGAAAGACCGCGATCGTTTGGGGGCGAGGCTCAAAGCCCCGCGATGGGGTATCCAGCAGTGAGGCGAGGCATTCTGGGCGGGGGCAGGTCCCCCTTGTGTGTTCCCCCGTATCCCGTGTGACGACAGCCAGCGACTCTTTCAGGCTTGTCGACAGGATCATCTGAACTCTTTCGCCTCCCGGGCCCAGACAACCCATGCTGGACAACCACTCAGCGGCCCGAACACCGGGCCTTGGGATCGAGCCAGTTGGGTGGCAGTGTGAACAGAGGTGCAAAGGAGGAGGAGGAGACCCTGCAGCCCTATGTCCGTTGGTGGTTAGCTTGGTTAGGTACCTGCCCGGGCAAGCTGGGGCGTCCCCCGGAAGCTCGAGGCCCCCCACCCCCTGGACCGGGCCCTGGACCCTCCACCATCCGCCGCTACCTTAGCGTACCTAGGTACCCGGTACAGATCAACGACACCCCCTAGAGCCAGCGAATCAGACGCTATCGAATCCGACCTTCCTGCATCGAAACCTCCACGACGGGGCAGGGCCTTGATACTGAAGCCGCCCGAGGAAGTACACCCCCCTCTTCTCTTCTCCCAAGATGTCACCTACCAGCTACGAACATCTCGGCAACAGCGCACCCAGCACAGCGCCCAATCTCGCTTCCCGCGGGGTAATTGTGTGCGCACTTCCTAGAGGATGCCTTCCGAGCCGCAGGACACTCGTGCCAGCCGAGTCGTCTCGACCGACTCAGCCGCGCTTCCTCCTCGAATCGGTCCATCCCCCAATGAGGGTGGGCGGCTGTCACATCTGCCACTCTCGGTAGCATGGCCCTACCAGGCGTCGCTGAGGAGGGCAGGGAACCCAAAGAAGCAACATCCATGGCTCCAGGCAGTGTCGTCACCTGATGGTATCCGTCGGCTGATTTGGCAGGAGCCGCAACCAGACACAGCGTCAGAACCTTAGAACAAGAGAGAGAGAGAGAGCGTGTGTGTGTGTGTGTATGTGTGTGAGGAAATGCCGGTGCCTGGAGCCTCGGAGGCTCGGCCGTGATCTCCCCTCGGGTTTTGTCCAGTCCCTGACGGCCCCTGGTCCATGGGGGCTCCGAGTGGTCTAGTGTCTTGAGGCCCATGATCCCCTTGAGCCACGATGCGATCCTCAATCTGTCTCTTGCCATATTTTTGGACAACGACGCCCGGGGGGCCGGCGTTTTCTATGCCTTGGCTCGAGAGAAGCTTGTATAAAGCATCTGGCTCGATCCCGCTTCGGCAATGCACACATCGGTAGGCCCTTGCCAAGGAAACTAGCTTTGACGGTCTACTCCATCTTGCGCCCCTATCACGAACCTGTCCTGACCTCTCGAATCTACACCTCGTCGTCTTCTGCTCCACAAAAATGGTTGGTGTTCCTGGAAAATACAAGGGTTGCGAGACTTGTAGGGCAAGGAGGGTCAAGGTACGTCTGCGGCGTTCACTGCTCCGGCGAACCAAAAGGCTGACGAGATGTCTAGTGTGATAACCAGCGGCCCAAGTGCAAGAGATGCATTGATGGCGGCCGCGAGTGTGCCGGGTACGAGCGTGAGAGGGTCTTCATCATGGCCACTGTCGACGACGCTGGCCGGTGTTCCTCTCATCCGCCGCGCCACGTCAGCTCGTCCGCTTCGTCGTCGAAGAAGGGCAAGTCAGTCACGCCGGAGAGAAAGAAGGGCAAGTCCGTCAGCCCTGAGATCAAGAAGAGCAAGTCCAATAGCCCCGAAGATGATGTGATGGAATTGGCTGCCATTGAGCCCTTGGCCCCTGCTTGGGATGATCTGCTCTTCGTCGAAAACAAGGGCGTCACCTACCTGGTACAAATGGCCGTGCTCCAGGCAAACGTTCAGAGCATTGGAAAGGGTAAGAAGAAGGACACTGCCAAGGTTGCCTTGACGCCCTACGCCCCATCTGGTCTGTATTTTCTCAAAAAGGGGCGAGAGCTCGAAGTCACGGCCCATTCCTTGGTCAGTCTGTCTTCGCCGGACGAGGGCAGTGGTTCGTTGAATGGAACATTCACTTTCCTGTTCGATGTACGTAGTCCATCGCTCCCTTTGAATGGACTGCCGCTTACCTTGGCAGCATAACTCATCCTTCCTCCAGGAGGGTGGTCAGCCAACTTGGCAACTGAACCAGGACAAACTAAGTCGCGTGAGGAAAGCTGGCCCCGAGAGCTACCAATACTTTCCAGCCCATCATTACTTTGTGCGTGTATACAGACAGACGGCTGTAAGTGCTGGCCCTCGAAGCACCCCGAAACCTGCTGGGACTCGGCCGTGGACACTGACCCATACAGGTGATGCTCGCCCTCATCAACAAGAAGATGACTTTCCTCGCCGAGGAAGCATGGTGTACAACCCCTTGGGAATACCACCCCAAGTCTGTTCTCGACTTCCTCCTCGATACCCTTGTCTTGCTACCAGGAGTCTTTTCCCGTGCCGACCTCATCACCCCCAAACAAGCTACGCTGGCCCGTCGTCTGGAGGCCCAAGAACTGCTCTACGACTGCCTTGCCGTTGAATCACAGCTCGACGGCTGGTACGCTACCCTCAACCCAGCCTCAGACCCCGCCTACTGGGCGGCCCATTCTGCTGACCCCTCGGTCCTCCCCGCCTCCCAACCGCTGCCGTTCGCCGACGCCTTTTCGTTTCGCGACAGCACGACGGCCCTCGCGCTGATCACCTACTGGACAGCCACCCTGCTCTTCCGCGCCACTGTCGACCGCGTACACGCCGCAGTCTGCGCGCCAGTCCTCGAGGACTTTCAAAATATGTACGCCGACCTGTCGCCGACCCTGCAGATCGACACGAACAGGTACCGTCGACCGAGAGACTACGCGGCGCGCATCTGCCGCAGCCTCGAGTTTGCCCTGGGTGCCGGCGTTCAGGTGGACGCCTTGGTCGCGCCCCTTGCGGTTGCCCACGGCGTGTTTCGCGAGATCAACGCCGTCTCCGCGGACGGGGCGCTTGAGATGTTGTGGTGTGAGGGGTTCAGGGAGAAACTGGTGTCTGAGGGGCAGCGGGTTGCCCAGGCCGTCATGAATCAGAGATGGGTTGACCTGGGACAGTTCTGAGCCGTGTAAGGTCTGTGATGGACTGGTGTTGAAGCTGGTACTTCAAAGGCTCATCCATAGCTGCCTGGATGCAGCAAGCTCGCTCGTTGGTGGCCATATTGAGAAACAATGGCATGGGTTCAGTTAGCATAGAATACACAGGACGTCTACGAAGCTCCCACAGCTAAATAACATGAAGTAAGAAAAAGACAAGACCAGGGGAACAGCGTGGTCCGCCGCAACTGAATAATGGTTGACACCATCTTGTCAATGCTGGCCGTGGAATAGAGGGACAGTCTAAAAAAACAGCCAGCCACTACAAAATGAGGAATGGGCAAACATCAACTCGTGAAGTAGCGGTTGGTGATGTGAGGCAAAACAGTGCGTTATGTAGATGCACTGTATACACACAGTCCACACCCGTACCCGGCCTTTTGCCGCCACAGCAGGAGCTCCTGGGAGCTGTCCATCCAGCCTACCGCGTCCAGGTAGCGAAGCTTCGTCAGACCTGGAGCCTGCCCCATTACTGACCGCATCACGACCATCAACCTCCACGATCCCATCTCGAGACATCAAGCCTCCCCCCCACGCCGAGACCAACTATCTTCGCCCAACAGTTCGACTCAATCACTCTCCACAGACAACATGGCTTCAGGATACGACAGAGCGCTCTCTGGTAAGCTGCACCGACCCCTCGCAACACTGAGACACCAGCTAACTTCCAGATAGTCTTCAGGTTCGTCTTCACCCTCGCGGTCATTGCAGGCTCCTCTCATCTAACGCGCGATCGAATAGTCCCGACGGACACGTCTTTCAGGTCGAATATGCCGGCGAGGCCGTGAAGCGAGGTGCGACCGCCCGCCTTCCCGCTGCCCGTTATGAAGCTTATCGATCACCATAGGAACCTGCGCCGTCGGCGTCAAGGGCCAGGACGTTGTCGTCCTCGGCTGCGAGAAGCGCTCCGCGATGAAGCTCCAAGACACCCGAATCACACCCTCCAAGCTCCAGCTCCTCGACACCCACGTCTGCCTCGCCTTTGCCGGCCTCAACGCCGACGCCCGCATTCTCGTCGACAAGGCGCGGTTAGAGGCCCAGTCTCACAAGCTGACCGTCGAGGACCCCGCTTCGATCGAGTACATGACCAAGTACGTTGCCGGCGTGCAGCAGCGCTACACACAGAGCGGCGGTGTCCGCCCCTTCGGCATCAGCACCCTCATCGTCGGCTTCGACAACGGCAGCAAGGTCCCCAGGCTGTACCAGACCGAGCCCTCGGGCATCTACTCAGCATGGTATGTTGACATGGCTGCGACCGGTCCTCACATGAGGGCCCCAATTCTGACAGACACGCAGGAAGGCGAATGCCATTGGCCGCTCCAGCAAGACGGTGCGTGAGTTCCTCGAGCGCAACTACAAGGACGACATGGACCGGGAGGCGACCATCAGGCTGGCCATCAAGTCCCTGCTTGAGGTCGTTCAGACGGGTGCGAAGAACATTGAGATTGCCCTCATGGCCCCTGGCAAGACGATCGAGATGCTGCCCGTGGAGGAGATTGAGAGCTATGTCAAGAACATTGAGGAGGAGAAGCAAGAGGAGGCGGCCAAGAAGAAGACGGGCCGCACGCCGGGTCAGGGCACCGCCGCCATTCTGACGCGGCCTGCGGAGGGAAGTGACGAGTAGACTACGAGAGACACGCAATGGATGATATGATCCCAGTGCGGCTAGAGGGCGCGCCAGACGGTATCACGAATTAAATACCAGTGTATTACCACCTGTAGAAAGGCAACGTCGTGGGGTCAAAATCGTGGGTATTCGTATGTACGTGCAAGGATCAACGCGCCGCTGCCCTCTTCCTTCTTCTATCTCTCCGTCGGCCATCTAGTCTGCCAGCAGCACATCATCAGCCCAGCTTGTCCGTGTGTGGATCCGGATCGAAAATGGTCCGCATCCTGGTCTGCTGCACACGCTCGTCCCTCAGCATCCTGTGATCCTTGCGCGCGTCTTCGCCCTCGACGGAGATGGCGGCCTTGGGCGTCTTGGCCTCGATGACAAAGTGGTTGTCGCAGTGGGGGCAGTACTCGTCGGCATCTTCAAACTCGGCCGCGTCCTTGCGGAAGCACTTCCGGCACTTCTTGCAGGCGAAGGTCATCTCGGTGCTCTGGAGGAGGGGGTGTTTCTCCGTTTCGTGGTGGCATTCAGCGCAGTCGAACCATTTTTTGCCTAAGGAGCAGTCAGATCTTGCTACTGAAAGAGGAATGCGAGACGGAGGTGGGAGGGCGGAAGGCTCGTACAGCATGGCGACCGGATCGCTACCTGGGCGTTGAGGATGTGTTTGCTGGGAGATGGCTTAGAACCAGATTCAACTCGGGCGGTTCAGGTGAACTTACCACATGATGAACGTGGGCGGAAACGCAATTTGCTCCTGTGAACCGGCAGAGCGGTGGAAACCGGTCAGACTGCGGTCGATTTGTTCTCGGTGCTGTCAAATCAAGGTAGACTCAAATGGACGGCTCCTGAACCTTCACCGGACCGCTAGACGCTGGGCTACCTGGTGGAAAGCGTTGATAATTTGGCGGGGATCCCAGTCTGGCTGCTGGCTCCACACTGTGCATCTCGCCGTGCTTATCAAGTGTTATCGCGCGCCGATGAATAAGCAGACTGCTGCTGCCTGCCGTCATCTACTTCCCATCTCTGACATTCTGGTGAAAGACTATGAACTTCTGCCTCCTCCAACACGGGGCATGAACTGGTCTGCGCACCAGTATCTGCCATAACAACCCCCATTTATTTACAAACCAAGTCCCCGCGCGATACAGGTTCTTTGGTCCTGCGACGTTTACACCCAACCTCATCCACGGCGGGCAGCAGCCAACCATGCCTCCGAAACGCAAGGCTATTGGTGCCGTCACAGGCGGTGGCAAGGTTGGTAAAGGATCACGAGTCTCGACGCCAGCTGGAGCCGCCACCCCGAGGAGCATTGGTAGCGACAATGAATCTTCTGCGGCGGAGGCGTTGAGCGAGGGAGAGGAGGACGTGAACATTGAGAAGAACGTGGGCCATTTCTCCGTAGAAGGGTATGAGCGCCCCTCAAAGTCTGCGACCTCGCACATCTTTGGCAAGCGCGATTACTCCTACCTCAGTCTGAAGCCGGACTTTCAGAACAGACCGCTATGGATCGATGCGAGCAAAGCGAGGATCTTCCTCGAGAGCTTCAGCCCCCTTGCCCAGCAGTGCCAGGACTTCCTCATCACCATTGCCGAGCCCATCTCCCGACCTTCCTTCGTTCACGAGTACGCCCTTTCGCCTCACAGTCTATATGCTGCCGTCTCCGTCGGTCTATCGCCCGCCGATATCATCAACACCCTCGAGCGATTCCTCAAGACGCCGCTGCCTAAACAGATTCGAGAATTTATCGAAGGATGCACAGCCAGTTTCGGCAAGGTCAAGCTCGTCTTGAAGAATACCAAGTACTTCGTTGAAAGCGCAGACCCTGTCGTTTTGCAGAAGCTGTTGCAGGATCCCATCATCGGACCTCTTCGAACCCACACAGGCAGTGGCGCGATCACGACTACCGCTGCCCCAAAGCAGGCGCCCCTCGTCATCCCTGGCACTACCAATGCCGCTGGCGTGCGCCAGGCAGGACAGGCGAACAATGCACAAGGCGCCGACGCCGAGAAGGCCAAGGAGGACGAGGTGTATGCTGCGTTGAACGACGATGATGACGAGGAGGCCGAAGTCACGCATTCCTTTGAAATTCCGGATTCCGCTGTTGAGGACGTCCAGAAGAGGTGTCTCGATCTGCAATATCCTGTGCTTGAGGAGTATGACTTTAGGAAAGACGAATTCAATGCGAACCTGGAGATCGACCTGCGGCCTGGCGCGCAGATTCGTCCATACCAGGAGAAGAGTCTGAGTAAGATGTTTGGTAACGGTCGCGCCAAGAGTGGAATCATCGTCTTGCCATGTGGCGCTGGCAAAACGCTCGTCGGTATCACGGCGGCGTGCACAGTGAAGAAGGGTGTCATCGTGCTCTGCACGAGCTCCATGTCGGTCGTCCAATGGCGAAACGAGTTCCTGAAATGGTCCAACATCAAGCCGGAAGACATTGCGGCCTTCACGTCAGACAACAAGGGACAGACCTTTACAGGCTCTACGGGTATCATCGTGACGACCTACTCCATGGTAACGCAGACCAGGGAGAGGTCGCATGAGGCGAAAAAGATGATGGACTTCCTCCAGCATCGCGAGTGGGGCCTCATGCTGCTCGACGAGGTCCACGTCGTACCGGCCAATATTTTCCGCAAGGTGACATCGTCAATCAAGACGCACTCCAAACTCGGTCTCACGGCTACGCTTCTTCGTGAGGATGACAAGATTTCGGATCTCAACTTTCTGATCGGCCCCAAGTTGTACGAGGCGAACTGGATGGAGCTGTCACAACAAGGTCACATTGCCCGTGTGCAGTGTGCCGAGGTGTGGTGCTCCATGCCCACGGAATTCTACGACGAATACCTGAAGGCACCACCTCGAAAGCGATCGCTGCTCTACATCATGAATCCGGCCAAGTTCCAGGCGTGCCAGTATCTGATCAACTATCACGAATCGCGGGGCGACAAGATCATCGTCTTCTCCGACAACGTGTATGCCCTCAAAGCCTATGCGATGAAGCTGAAAAAGGTCTTCATCTACGGCGAGACCGGGCAGGCAGAGCGACTGCAAGTGCTGGAGAACTTCCAACACAACCCGCAAGTCAACACGCTCTTCCTCTCTAAGATTGGAGACACGTCGCTTGACTTGCCCGAGGCCACATGCCTCATCCAGATCTCGTCCCACTATGGTTCCCGACGGCAGGAGGCGCAACGTCTCGGCCGTATCCTGCGAGCAAAGCGCAGGAACGACGAAGGCTTCAACGCCTTTTTCTACTCGCTCGTGTCCAAGGATACTTCCGAGATGTTCTACTCCTCGAAGCGCCAGGCCTTCCTGGTTGACCAGGGCTACGCGTTTAAGGTCATTACGTCGCTCAATAACATTGAGAAGACGGAAGACTTGGCCTTCTCGACGGCAGCCGAGCGCCGAGAGCTTCTGGAAAAGGTGCTCGTCGAGAACGTGGGCAACGAGGAGGAATTCGTCGACGACCTGTTTCACTCGGGCAACATGGGACGCAAGCCGAAGAAGAAGGGCGCCCGACGCACGGCGGGCATGCTTGGGGACCTCTCTGGTGGGCAGGATATGGCCTACATTGAGCAGAATAAGAAGACGAAGACCAAGAAGGGCGAGAGTAGCGCTTTCTTCCGGAAGATCCAGAGGCAAGCGGCGAAGAAATGAGTGACTGGTAGTCGGCGCATCTGCTAATACTGCCTGCCTGGGCCTGGCGTTTTTGAGTATGGGGGATTCGTTGAATTGGGAATGTATCATATAGCGGAACAAACTGTGAAGTTGCCTCTTTTGGGTGGGATAAGGGGACCAGAGAGCTAGGATGGATGGTGGTATGCGGCTCAGATTGACACTGGCGGACGGGAAGATAGCTCCCGCGGCCCTTGGATGCGAAATCTCCGAGGCGGCTGTTGTACAGGGGGGCGGGAGGGGGAGGGGGGGGGCGCACACCGCCTAGTCGTATAGCTATACGCAAGATCGAAAGAGCAAGACAGGGAAAGTAAAAGCATTGACCCAAACGACCACTGAATGGACCGCCGGTCTACACGTGCCGTGCCGAGTGGCATTCCTGCTGTCTTCGCCTTATCTCTGTCTCAGTGTGCGATGCTGCAGTGGTACGTTGATAGGGGATGTTCGGGACGAAGGCGATGTAAGTTGCCGCGGACGGGCGGGCGCTGGTCGAGACAGTTACCCAGTGGCATGGTGACGACGGGACGTCGGAAAGTCGGGATGTCTTGGGACGCCGTTGAGTGGCCTGTGTCCCGGGGATTCAAGAGGAGGGATATGCGTCTGGCCGCGTCGACGTGAGATCGACACGGGCCCTACAGGGACTGCAGCGTGACACGATGCATACCCTCAAGCATGTGTTGTCTCCTGTTCTGCCGTCTCCTGTTCTGCCGGGCCATATCACGAGTCGACCCATGTTCTTTACGATGACTGATTCGCTGATTTGTGTTTTCAGTCATGAAGGTTCGGCAGGCATGTATGCAGTCTGCGATAGACTTTTTTATTCATCGGACGCGGTTTTGTGCCGATTGGTCGTTCTTGTTGTGAATCAGGTGCGTCGTCGACGCGGCGGCTCGGCATCAGAATCCCAGGAACAGGGAGGGGGACCGGTAGCCAAGGCATGGAAAGGGGAACGGACGTCTCGGCCAACATCCGCACCACATAGGACAGGCAGGATACGTCGGTGGCCGGTGATATGCGCCGCGTAAGCGAAGCACGGTGAGCAGCATGGCTTGCGCTGACGATCTGACGAGGCCTCCAAGGGTGTTCGATATCCGGCCCTTCCACCTGCAGCAGGCAGCAGAACGGAAGCTTGATGAGGCCCAGGGGAAAGAGAGAGAGAAAAGCCAGAGACAGAGAAAAGTCGAGAGGGCATTGAAATGGCGGCCTGTAGGTCGACAGAGATGTTGGAGGCCCTACCTCGTTCCCGCACCCTTGGCTCAGACATGGTATTG